TTTTCCTTTTTATCAGTACCAGGGATCGAACTCATGACTGCCTGCTTGCAAGGCAGGCGCTTATGCTGCTGAGCTAAATCCCCAACCCCAATCATGTAACTTTTAAAAACATTTTATTAGTATGTGTTTGCAGTACACAGTGATCACATTTCTCAGTGAGGGGTTGGTACATGTATATAAAATATGTAACTTTTTAGAAAACTGAAATAGAATTGTACATACAGAGTTCTATGATTTCCTTTTTTTCTCTTTTTTGTGTCAATGAATATCAATTTTCAGTAATGCCTGAAACCTAATAGTAATCATGCAATTCTACTATAATTTATTAATAAGTTCTCTTTGGATAGAAAGATTCCTTCTTATATTTTTGTTATTATCGTGGTATAAAAATACAGCATTAGAAGTTGAGATCATGGACTCCCACACCACTTATCTGGCTCTGTGACCTCTGTGTACCTCATTTTTCTCAACCATAAAATGGGAATAACCATTTACTGTTATTCCTACTGTTACTGAGGGGTGTTTTATGGGTCCAAAGAGTTGACATCTGCAATGTTTTTAGAAGAGTTCCTGGCACATAGTAATAGCTATTGTTATTAAGAATAATATTAGGAAAAAAAAGAATAATATTAGGATTAACATTCTTGCATGTCTTTGGGGACTTATTTAGTTCTGTAGGTTGTATTTCTAGAAGTGAAAATGTTGGTTCAGGGACTGAGCATATGTTACATTTTTATAGTTCTTTCCTAATTGGCCTTCAGAAATGTACTGATTGAGGATAAAGATGAGAAATAGAAGAAAGACTTTCTACTCTGTACCTGACTATAAGTAACACAAGTTGCACAAGAATGTGTTCATTTGTTACATATGTGTTTTAGCAGTGCTAGGAAGTCTAACCAAGGGCCTGGTGCACACTCTGCATTGAACTATACCTCCAGTCTCTAAATCTACTTTTTTAAATTTTGTCTTTTTGAGACAGGCTCTTGCTATCCAGTTCAGGCTGGTCTTGAGCTCACTTTGTAGCCCAGGCTGGTCTCAAATTTGCAGCAATCCTCCTGCCTTAGTCTCCCAGTGCTAGAATTACAGGCATGCACTACCATGCCTGACTATATCTACTTTTTTTTTTTTTTTTGGTACTGGGAATCAAACTCATGACCAGGCATGGATTTATGCCACTGAGCTAAATCCCCAGCCTATATTTACTTTTTTTTTTTTTTCTTTTTCCTTTTTATCGGTACCAGGGATCGAATTCACGACTGCCTACTTGCAAGGCAGGCGCTTATGCCGCTGACCTAAATCTCCAGCCCCTATATTTACTTTTAAATACTGTTTCCTCTGCTAATATAATCTGTAAAAGAACACATTATCCTTTTTATTCTTCAGCACTGAGTGTTGTCTTTAATCCCTTCTCTGCACTAGGAAAAGAACCTGTGGCCTTCCACAGAGCTACATCCCTAACCCTTTTTTATTTTTTTAAATTTTGAAGCACGGTTCCACTAAGTCATTTAGTTGCCCATGTTGAACTCAAACTTGCAGTCCTCCTGCCTCAGCCTCCCCAGAATGTTGATATTACAGATATACACTACCTTCCTGCACTGTTTTTTGGTTTTTTTTTAATTTTTACCACTACAATGGATGGAAGTCTTATTTCATTTTTTTGTGTTTTTTTGATTCTCATATTGCTCATTTTTTATATATTTTTGGAGAAAATATATGGTACATGCTAAGAAACTTAAAAATGTTTAAGTGGCGCATGCCTGGAATTCCAGCGCTCAGAGAGGCTGAGGTAACAGGATCACAATTTGAGTCCTGGCTGGGCATTCTAATGATATCCTGCCTCAGAATAAAAAAAAAAAAAAAAAAAATTAGTCAAAAATGAATAATTTAAGGGCTGGGGATATAGCTTAGTGGTAGAGCACCCTAGTGTTACAAAAAAAAAAAAAAAAAAAAAAAAAATTCTTTCCCCAGAGTTGCCAAAAAAAAAAAAAAAAAAAGCATTTATTGGGGAGCCAATGTCTGATGGGGGGAGGTAGGCCCTAAGATAGAAATCACTATTTTCTACTGAATTTTGCTGCGACATAAAACTGCTCTAAAAAAACAGTCTATTTTTAAAAATAGCCCGTATTTTCTATCATTGACTCCTGTATTGATTCCTTCTGAGATACGCATAAAAAGCCCCACTGGGGAATCGAATTTAGCTACAAATATAAGTGCAGAAAAAAATATAAATAAGACATGAGACAATGACAAATTTACATGCCCAAAAAATGTAAAACAAGGGTGAGGTTCAACGCAAGTCAACGACAGATAAAGGAAGAAAGTTGTGCGCGGCCGGCCCCCTTTCAGCTGAAGTGCTGCAGCCCGCGGCGACACCGAGAAGCCACGGCCAGAGTGTGTGGCTCCATCAGGCACAGATCTCTGCACATGCAGCCCTTCTCCTGCGCACCTGGGCCCTCCGGTGGGCCGGGCCTGGAGCTCTGCGGAAGCTCTGCCCAGGTGAGCAAAGAGGAGGCTGCCGCGGGAGCCCAGCAGCTCGCAGGCTGTCTCCCTCTCTGCCGTGCACAGGCATTTAGGCCACGGCACAGTGCAGTGCAGTGCGGGAAGGTACAGCACCAACCGGTGGAACACGGTGGGCCCTACAGGGGTCCTCAGATAAAAGGCACTGGTGGGCGAAGTCTACAGGATGTCAGTTCATTCTCATCACTGTCACTGAAACTCAAACTGGATTTAGACAAGAAGGGTTATTGTTAGCCCCTTGATAAAGTTCCTGCCCTGTTTTGTTGAAAACATGGGGCTGGGGATTTAGCTCAGCGGCATAAGCGCCTGCCTTGCAAGCAGGCAGTCATGAGTTCAATCCCTGGTACCGATAAAAAGGAAAAAGACAAAAAAAAAAAAAAAAAAGAAAAGAAAAGAAAAGAAAACATTATTCTTTGAAGCACTTCATTTCCTAGATTCAGTTGTGTTCCAAATGGACGACCTTGTGCCTTAGTAAATGCCTTCCCCAATATAGTTAAAGAGTATGGAGGACAATGCCTTATCTTATGTGGATATCATAGAATCTAAGAGTCTTCTATCTGAGTTCATAATAATCCTCAATCACATTTATATATGATACATTTTTTATTCACCTGAAGTTTTCCTAAATAGCCTTCCATCCAAATACTTAGCAGACTCAGCTAATTTTTTGCCTTGATCAGGGTAGCATGTCTCAAAGTCCTACAGCACTTTAATCCTATGCTAAGGGGTTTTCATCTTTCATCTACAACTTCATGTTTGCTTCATTCTCGTAAGATGAGAAGCCTCTGCATCGTCTCCACGCCAAAGGCCAACTCAGCCAGCTCGGTGCCAGCCCTAAGCAGCTCTCTCAGCTGCACCAGCTGATGGCAGAGAGGGGATCAGACTAAAGATGGGCTCAGGTCACACAGCCCTGTCCATGAGCAGACACAGACACAACCGAGTCAAAACCCCTGGTCTGTGGCACTGTCAGTGTGAACTATGGAATGACCCACCAGCAGCTGGCCCAATGTGACCTTAAGAAAGTTGACTGCCTCTCTTCTCCTTCAGATTTCCCATCCCCAAGGCTTGTGGTGAGGATTCCATGTGGTGACACACACCAAGGGCCAGCAGTGGTAACAAGCACCCCTTTATGGTACTTTCCTCCCCATCCAAGGAAGTATAGAGAGCCCCATGGCTGTGGCACCCTAGTGCTGCCAGGCTCAGGAAACGTCTGGTACAGTGGATACAGTGAATGGTTTCCAGACTTTTAAAAGGGAAAGAAAAAAAAAAAAAAGGGACCCTCCCAGATAGTTGCTGATATTACATTTTGCAGTTAAGGGCACAAAAAATTACAATCTTCTATCATTTGTATTTCGCAGAAGAAAATAGTTTTTATCATCCTTTTTTAAGGAGGAAAGGTACAACATGCACATAAATTTAGCTTTATGAAAACCTTTTCACTCTGTCTTTTCTTATTTTTCTGAAATCATCACAAAGCAGTGTTAGGGACTTATGCTACTGAATTACAGATGAGGAAATACAAGCCCAGAGAGGTGAAGTGACGTGCCCAAAGTCACACAATGACTTGAGTGTCAGCTGTAATGTAGGAAAATATGCTTGGACATCAGAGATGCTTTCATGGAGCTGTCCAGGTGCCTGGGCTCTCAGCCATTAGCCTTGAGGAAACACTTTCTGCTGGGTTCCGCTTTTCTAAACTGGGGTGAATGTCACACCACACCCCTCAACAGGATTGTTGCAGAAACTAACCAAAGAAGAGCTTCAAAGTCAGGCATGCTGGTACATACCTATAATCCCAGGGTCGGAGAGGCTGGACCAGGAAGCTCAAGCCCAACACAAGTAATTTAGTGACTATGTGAGATCATGTCTCAAAAAGTTAAAAAACAAAGGACCAGGGATGTAACTCAGTTCAGAGGCTTGGGTTTAATCCTCCACACCACATACATACACACATACATAGAAAAAGACGAAGAGAGGAAGCAAGAGAGCTTTGAGAGAGCTTTAGAGCTGGGCATTGGTAAAGCAGATCTGTAGTTTTAGGACTGTGAGAGTCCAAAAGAAATGTTTGGATATTGTAAACTCAACCATAATCTACACATTTAGCCATTTAGCAAAACCCTATGTGAAATAAAAAAACAAAAAACAAAACAAAACAAAACATAAAAAAACGAATGAGTAAAGAGCTGGGGATATAGCACACAGTGCAAAGGTCCACATTGGATCCCCCACATTGAAAAAGAAAAATGGAGGAGGGTCCCAAAAATACATATTGGGTATCAATCGTAGAGTGAAATATTAGGGAGTGAAGTATCTGTGTCTGAATGTACTTAAAACTATTTCAGCCAATAAAAATAGGTGTAGCAAATATGACAACTTATTAATGATATGTTAATACTATACTTGAAAACTTTCATACTATACATTCTATAATAATAACAGTAACAAAAGACTCTGGCAAGGCAAATGGAAGAGATTACATTACTCACAGAGAAGTCCGCAGAAAGATCCAGTCTCTAGGAGTGAAAGGGGCCCAGTCTTGGGCAGACAGAGCCAGAATCAGGAAGTGATTTTGGTTTTCCTGCTTCCTCCCCAGACGTGCTTGGTGTGGTGGTTGGGCAAGGGGAGCCTCCTGCCCTTCTCTTCCTTCTAGTGCAAGACACCATCTGACAGACCCAGCCCTGCTGGGACAGTGGGGATTGCTTGTGGGAGCCAACCAGCATGGGGGTCTTATGAATATGCAAATAAGGGCCAGAACTGGTTGGCTGCTTCCTGTCATTTCCTATCTCCACCCCAACTCAGGTGCCTTAGAAAGCCAGCTCGGCAAGGACTTTCCTGAAATGCCATCTTTTCTGTCCTTGTTTGAGAACCTCCAGAGAGAGCCCTTACCACGTCAGGAGTTGGGATTAGCCATGTCCCATTGCCTCCAGATAAAAGCTCCTCTCCTTTCAGAACCTTGTCAAGGCAGCTCCAAAGTGATTGTCTTTCTCCCTTTTCCTTGAGCATCAGGAGGAGGCTAAATTCTACCTGAAACATGGCAACTCAGATCTGCAGAAAGCAGAGGCCATGTGGCCTGTCCTTGCAGCAGAGGCTGGAACACTTGGGGAGGCTGATTGCTGGGCCCACTGTAGCCACGGAGAACTCACTGCCCTAACCCATTCTCTCCCAAGCTTCATTCACATTTTCCCATCTCCTTCAGCTTGGGAAATGGAATGAATGCTGTGAGATACAGCAATAGAAATGAATAAAACACAGCTTAATTCATCGGCATAGATAAATCCTCAAAACATAATGCTGAATGAAAGAAGTAAGTCAAGCACAGGCACTGTGATCCCATTTAAGTTCAAAAGTAGGGGCAGGAGCTGGGGATTTAGCTCAGTGGTGTAAGCGCCTGCCTTGCAAGTGTGCAGTCATGAGTTCAATCCCTGGTACTGATAAAAAAAAAAAAAAGGAGGGAGAAAATCTTAAAACATGTCTATTTTCACTGTGTATTCATATATTAGTTTTAATTACAATTGAATGGAAAGATAGAATCCAGATAGCATATGTGATATAGAATGAGTATAGGGCATAGTTCCTATTCTAAGGAGTCCAGAGTGGGAGGAAAGGTATAGAATCTGGTCAGTAACATTAATAAGCATACAAGAAAAAAAACCTGCATACAAGCAAGGTTGTGCGTATATGATTCAGTCACACATGCTGGGGGACTCAAGATGTCTCAGTAGTCCATGCCTCATCCCAGCCACTTGAAATGCTGAGATAGGAGGATCCTGAGTCTGAGGTCAGCTTGGGTAATTCAGCAAATCTTGTCTTAAAATAATTAAAAGAACCTAACATATAGCTCAGTGTTATGCAAATTGCCTACATGTGCATGGCCCTAGGATCCATCCCTAGCACCTCTAAAAAAATAAAACAAAAAATTCTGTATTATTTAAGGTGAGGTAACCATCTGTGGTGTTTTCCATTCATGGAACCCCTTAATCCTTTTGAAAAACACAAATGTTTTTCCCTCATGTAATTTGAAAATGAATACCCCTTTTTCTCAATTTAGAAAACAGACAAGCCAGCACTCAGAAGCTGCAGCAGGAAAATCACAAGTTTGAAGCCAGCCTGGACTATATAGTGAGACACTGTCTCAAAAAAAAAAAATTAAAAACAAGCAAAATGGGGGCTGGGGATTTAGCTCAGCGGCATAAGCACCTGCCTTGCAAGCAGGCAGTCGTGAGTTTGATCCCCGGTACCGATAAAAAGGAAAAAGACAAAAAAAAAAAAAATCAAGCAAAATAATATGTGTCCATATGTATTGAAGCTAAATGACAACAAGGGAGTGATTGATTGATACATGTGGTTAACTGAGGATGATGACCCAGGAGGACCACACCGGGACATCGAGTTCCTTAAATTGTGTGGTGAGTATGAATGTTTCTTTTATTATGAGTCCTTAAAACACACGGATAGATTGATATGTTGTTCAAATAGTTTACAATGGAAAAAACCTAGTACAATTTATATTTATGAACTCCTGTTCCAATGGGCAATGTTGTGCCTGGAGGGCTCTAAATGCAGAAGAGAGTGTTAGCCTGTTGAGTTGCACCTTGATGCCTCATAGAGACCCATGTATGAATTTCAAGGAAATCAATTTCAACATTTTTCTTTGAGAGGGATTTTGCACGCTATCATGTACAGATGTGTGCATGTGTGCATGTGTGTGTGTGTGTGTGTGTGTGTGTGTGTGTGTGGTGTCTAAGATTAAATTGAGTGATATCTAAAGCTCCAGGAGAAATACTTTGGCACATTATAACCAGGCATGAGCTTTTAAATTTTAGAGAAGAAGGCTAAATGCGGTGGCACATGCCTGTAATCCCAGCACTCAGGAGGCTAAGGCAGGAAGATAGATGCAAGTTTGAGGCCTGCTTGGGCTACAAAGTAAATTCAAGGCCAGCCTGAACTGCATAGTGAATCCCTGCCTCAAAAAAGACATAACGAAACAAAATAAATTTTAGAGAAAAATCTGAAAAATTACTGAAAGAATTTAGCTGCTATCAGGGACCACTAGTTATATACCTCAGTGGTATAGTTCAGGCTTAGCATTCTCAAGTCCCTGGATTTGATCCTCAGTGCACACGATTGCACACACACACACACACACAAAAATAAATAAATAAAAAGGATTACCTAAGAAACATTAACAGCAACTGCCGCAGAGGATTGCCTTAGCTCTTGTGAGTCAGCAAGTATTAAGTCACTTCACTAATACTTACCGGGTACCTATAGAATACCAAACACTGTGTTGTAACCAGTGGGCCCTCGAAAAATAGAGTGATCTCATTCCGGACTGGCGCTCAGTCAGTAGAGAAGATAGGTAAATGGGACAGTACAATATAATGCAGAGATACATACACAGTACTTCTGAAGCATAAAGAAAGTATCTGGTAACTCTGCCAGAAGGGATCGAGAAGGGATTTACAGAGCAACTTAATGATTACAAGTCTTTGGGCAAATAGGAAGGAACAGCCCACACAAAGATGTAAAGGAGACAGGCCACACATTGGGATGATAGCCAGCAGTGTAGTAAGACCTAAGCTCAGGATCTGTGAGACTGCAGAGGGAAGATCAGAACACAGAAGCCAGATTATCAGGTGCTTAGTCAGGTGGAAGAGTTTGGACTTTATCCTATAGATACAGAAAAGCAATTGAAAGACTTTAAGCAGGAGAATGCCAGGATTAGGCAGCAGAAAGATCTTTGATGCTAGGATTAGGTTTACATTGCAGAAGGTGTGACGGATAAGCAAGACTAAATAGCAAGTGAGAATGAAGGCTCAGGAAATTATCCAGATGAAGGACAATCAGGATTTGATGATGGGCAAACAGCAAGGCTTGGATGTTTTCTCTAGTTCTAGTTAGGATTTCTGCCTATTGCTCTAGAATTTCAGGGGCAGTGCTTTCTGGGTTTGGGTGTGATGAAAGGCTTTCTGAGAGCCTTGATCATCAGTTAAGATGACTCAAAAAATAGAAACCAACAGGGACCAAGTGATTCATTCATAATTCATTCATTATTCATTCAATCAGAGGTTTATGGAACACCTTTTCTATTAGGAAAGTGAGCTATAAAGTGAATACTCAGGGGCCTGAAGACCCAGAGGAGGAAGCAAATGAGGAAGGATGCCACGTGGGGTTTTGTTTGATTGTTTCTTTTTTGGTACTAGGGATCAAACTTGCGGTCTTGTGCTTACCAGACCAGGCAAGGGCTTGAGCCACTGAGTTAAATCCCCAGCCCTCCATGTGTTTCATTACAAGGCAGCAGGCAGAATGGGATGTCCATAGCTGAGAGGCCAAATTCAGCACATGAATATTTATGGAGCACCTAATCTCTGTCCTAGATGCAGGGAATACAGCTGGGAACAAGACAAAATGTAAAGGACATGACAGCAGGAGTTTACCTGCTAGGAGTACGATGACAAACCAACTTCCAAATGTTTGGTATGTATGGAGAACCATTAGTTTGGCTGGAGAGTTTCTGAAAGGACTGGGGAAGATCAGGAGATGCTATATAAATCAAGCTAATTGGTGGAGGGACTAGAGACCTTTAAAGGATTCTTGGGACTCTGTTACGACAAAGGACTCTAATCCTTGCCTCAGGGTTAGGGAGATAAGCAAGCGATCTGTGATTGTTTTCTTATATGTATTTGAAGCATCTGGGCCTCAGGGAGCCAAGTGTCACCACGTCTACCTTTCCTTCTTTTCAGGTAATCAGGTGGTCAAAAGCCTTGGTGCCCAGAAGAGAAAGGCTCCAAACTCGGACTGTTTTGCAAAAAGGTCTGACCCAGGGGCGATTCAGTGACCAACAGTCAGGCATCTTAAGGAAGACCCGCCTGTGCTGGCAAACAGCGCGGCGTTGTATGAGATTACCCCATCGCTTCAGATTGGGGAATAAGGGACGCCGGGCTGCAACCAGACCCACCCCACCTCCCTCCACCAATGGTTCGCTCCGAACACCCCTCGTGCGCGGTGAGTGCCGCGGCCCGCCTCGCTTCCGGTTGTTGTCGCCCCCATATCCGGTGTCCGCCCGCCCTCGGCTCCGCCGCCGCGATGCTGTCCCGCTCGCGCTGCGTGTCCCGGGCGTTTAGCCGCTCGCTCGCCGCCTTCCAGAAGGTATGATCTGGCCAGCCCGGGGCTCCGGCGCGTGAGGAGCGGGCCGGCGGGCGGACGAGCGGCCTGAAGGGCAGGGGCGTAGCGCGCCACCCGGGCCGGGCACCAAGGGCACTGGGACGCGGAGGCCGCATGCTGGGCGACCGGGGCCGCAGACGTCCTCTCGGCGGTCTTGCGGCTCCTGCAGAGCCCAGTGGCTCCTTATCTTCCCGAGGCAGCCGGTGCCCACTGCTTGCTGCTGGACCCCACCCTCTGTGTCGGGCTGGGGGACCGCGCCCGTCCTGACTGATGAGACCGGCTCAGTTTGGGAGGGGGCGCGGAGCAGCCCTGCAGCCCGATTCTGGGGGCCGCCTCTGTCCTGCGGTTAAAACCAGCAGGCATCAATTCTTTTGAGACGTTTAGGTGATCTGGCAGACTCTGTGTTGCAGAGTTACGAAGTTCACCTGTCATCAGTAATGGAGCATGTTTGAGTGTGCAGTTTCAAAAAGCTTTTTACCCACTCGTTTCATGTTGGGTGACATCGATAATGTCTTCTTTCTCAACAGGGGAACTGCCCTCTAGGGAGACGTTCCCTGCCTGGTAAGTTCTGCCCTTACGGTTACCAATTAAAATGCTCCTCTCTAGAGCAGAGCAATGTGAAGAAATCTGAGTCTGTTTCTGCTCGTGTTCAAAGACATTTCGGTTCAGATAGCACTGAAACAAAATGCTACTTTATCTAGCATTTGTTACGTATTCATTCAGCACATGATTACTGAAGTTTTTCTCTGCCTTTTTTTTTTTTTTTTTTAATTATTGGTACCGGGGATCGAACTCACGACCGCCTGCTTGCAAGGCAGGTTCTTATGCCGCTGAACTAAATCCCCAGCTTGATTACTTAAGTTTTTAGTACCTGTCAGCCACTGTGCTAGACCCTTACTACGAATATGGTGACTGACTTTGCCCTGGAGGAGCTTACGGGCTACCTGGGAAGACAGGGAAAATTGCTAATCGGGCAAACAGTCACAAATTGTAGTAAGCTGAGAAGGAAGCATAAAAGTGGACAAAAGACATTTCTTTAGGTAATGTTAAAACTGTGACCTGGAGGATTTGACAAAGCTAATGTAGTGAAGAGCAAAAGTTAGGGAATAGCAGTTACAAAGTCCCTGAAAAAGATGAGTTTGCCAGGGCTACTTTCTTTGAAGGAGAGTGTTGGAAGTCTAGGTTTTATCCCAAGTTTTTGTGTTGCTTTGCTTTTGGTGTCAGGGGGAGAGTGTGTGTGTGTGTTGTGTATATATCTTAGCTTGTTTTTTAGTAAATGCCTGGCATAATTCTATGTTGAATATGTCTCTTATTATAGTCTGACTTTGTGTTAAGCATCATTCTGAGTGATTTCTGTGCAATTTTTAATCTCATCAAATAACAAAAGATATATTACCACTATCTTTCAAATGAATAATACAAGATCAGAAACAGTAAGTGGCTTGACCAAGGTCACACAGCCAACTTGATTTAGTCAAGTTAGAGCACATGATTTTGTCCTTAACCTGAGCTAAGGTTCGCATTTACTCATGTACTCAACAGATCATGTGTTGAGTGTTCACTACAAGGCCAGGCCCTGTGCTCAGTGATGGGATGACAGATGGTCTCTACCCTCGAGCTTATGAGCCAGCTCCAGAGACAGGGCAAGTACACATAAGGACATAATTATATTGTGGTTACTAGGAAGGAAAGTACAGGGTGTGGTGATGGCTAGCATGATGTAGCGTACTTGGGAAGATAAGGAATCTGGGGAGAATGTGTATAAAGGTTTCCCCAAAGAAGCAATGTTTAAGTCGAGTCCTGAAAAATACCTGAGGCAGCCGGAAAAATAATATTGCAGGTAGAGACAATAGTTTGTGCAAAAGTTTCTAAGCAGGAAGGGACTTGACCAGTTATAGACATGGGAAGGATGTCAGCCTTGAAAGATAGGGCTGGATGTTTCAGGACTGTATAAAATACTTGAACTTTTACTTAAGGACCAGAGGAATGTAAGACACCTAGCACAGTGTCAGTTCATAGTGGGGTCTCAGTAATAAACTGTCTTTTCAACTGAGAAGCGTGAAAAATATCTGAAACATTTTTCTTAACTTTATAGAGTAGCATAATAGAGAAAAGAGCCTTGCAGTTGGGGTTTTGCATCTTGGCTCAGGGATTCACCTTCAACTAGTAACTTAACCTTGGAAAATCCTATTTATATATAAAATAAGAATAATGCCAGGTGGTCATTCTGCTTCAGAGAGTCTATGAGACTGAAAACCAGAATGAAGTCATACGTAAAAAAAAAAATTTTTTTTTTTTGGTATTTTTACCAGTACCAGGGATCGAACTCACAACCACAGGCTTGCAAGGCAGGCGCTTATGCCGCTGAGCTAAATCCCCAGCCCCATATGTAAAAATTTTTTACAACCATAAAACATTGTGGAAATGATACTTGCTGTAGGATAAACTCTAAATTGGACTCAGGTTTCCAGAAATCAGGGGCTGTTATATTTTAGGTCAAAGACATGCTATGCTTAGAATTTGTGCTGCTGTTTTCAGTGCTGGTTACAGACGTGACTGGCTTGACTCTCGGGAATATTTGTGAGGTGTTGGGCATAAGGGGAAGCTGTCTCTCTCAACTGGTGTCTTAGGAGGGGTTCCTAATGGATCTGAAGGGGGAAAAAGACGAAAAAGTATATTCAGAGGCGGCAGCTATAGTTTTTGGGTATTAGTTGAGAAAATGCAGTTATTTATGATAAGGATAGTTGGTAGGCAGAAAGGGTCTCTCACCTTGTTGAGAATGAGTAGGGTGGAAGACTTAAGGAAGAGCACAGGAACAGTGCTGCAAGGTGGGAAATGTATTTGCGTTGTTCTGAAATAAGCTGGAGACCTAGGTTTAAAGTAACTCTTGTCTTTGCTACTGGGTTTAGTCAGGAAAGCTTCTAACCCAATTCACTCAAACCTAGACCAAACATCCCTTGTATCTTCATTTTGATAATGTGAAGTTACAGAGTAAGCTGTCACCTGTCTTTTTTTCACACTATAGTTGTATTTAAAGATTTAGGGAATAGAGATATTTCATTAGGAAAATAGAAATAATATAGACAAATGAATTTCTAAGTTAAATAAGATGGTAAAACTCCTATACTCACCCTTAGCCTTGAATATCCATTTATCACTGCTGTTAAGGTTACTTTGCTGGAAAAGTTTGAGAAACAAAATGCAGAGTGATAAAAATTATATTGTTACCTACAGGTAGTTCTGCTGTCTTGGGGTCAGGGGATGAACAGAGCTCTTCCATCTCATATCCTGTGTAAGATAAGAGTTGTTGGTTAAGAGTTGTTTTGTTTCTTGCAGGGGTCTCCTTATGTCAGGGACCAAGTTACCCTGACAGCAGGAAGATTGTGTAAGTATCACGGAGAGTACAGATATGTGGCCACCAGGTATTTTCTTAGATACCAGTTCTAAATTTGAGCGTCTTGTTTTCTTCATTGGTCTCCAGACCTAGATTGAGGTGGCTGTGTTAAGTCAGTCCCTAGATCTAACATTGATGATCATTTTTATCTGTGGTAGACCTTGGGGGTTATCCTTTGCCATAGTTTGATCAAGCATTTAGCTGTTCTCAGGAAGTTAGATTATAACAAAAGATAACTTGGAAACCTCTTTTTTTATGGGAATAGAAATAAAAGAGTGCTTCTAAATATACTAGTTGGCTACAAGTGCAACTGAATGGCTGGAGGTCATGTTTATTAAGAGCATCCTCTTGGTAACATGGCTACTCTTTTTAAAAACAGTAAAAGGAAAAGACTAGCAGGTCCCTGGTACTTTGAATAGTTCAGAAGTAATGCAGAATTTGGAGAAAAGCTACCCATGTGTATTTCAGTCTGCTTATAAATAAATGTCACTTAAATGCTACCTTGCATTCTATTTTCAAGGTAGTAAAAGGATGCTCTCTAGTAACCTGTTCAAGAGCTATGAAGCTAGTTTGTCTTCAGGGAGAATCTTCAAAGCCAAGAGACAGCAGATTAACTCCTTAATGTGCATCACAATGAGTTTTGTTGTGTTTAATTCACAAAATGTTGCACTCAGTACTAGAAGTATGAATTCCTGTGCTATTTTCAGAGTGTAATTTGGCAATCATGAATATTGAATCATGTGTACCTGTTGATCTAGCAGTTTCATTTTTAGGAATCTACATTGAACTAACACTGTATACCCAGCTTTCTTTCAAAATGGCAGACATCAGGGTTAAGCTGTATAGCATTCACACTACAATAGTGGGAAAACATTACAGTACAAAACGACTGCATTTTCTGCTGCATGGTACAATCCCATTATAAACACTGTTTTTGCTATTTCTAATACTCTGCAGTGAACATCAGTACTTTTTTTTTGAGACAGTCTTACTGTGTAGCCCAGGCTGGCCTCCATTTTGCCTCAGTCTTCCGTGTACTGGAATTTACAGGTGTACATCACCATGCCCAGCTCATCAGTGGTTTTGTAATTTAAAAAGTTATTTAGGGAGACTCAACATACATTATTCATCTACAATTTAGATAAAAGTTGGACAATAGTTAATGCCTATGTAATAAATATAACAAGTGTTTGAAAGTAAATTATTAAAAAACCAGTAAACTTTAGATTGGATCATTCCTAATTGTGTCATCCTAAACTAATATATAATTTTGTGTTATGTGTTATCTTTTTTTTTTTTTATGAAGGAGGTACTTTATTTTTAAATTTTTTCATTGTAAAAATTGTTTGGTGTTTTTATTTAACAGGTAATTATGTGGTTCAAAATTCAAATGGCAAAAAAGTGTAGCCACATTGTCCTGGCCCCTGAATGCGGCTTCCCGCACTTTGTGTTACTCCTTAGTTCTTGTCTGCAGGCATTTTCAGTTCCCTCAACTCCCCGTGCTCCGGCTCAAAACCAGGGCCTCGGCATGCTCTACCCGCAGCCCTTTCGGTTTTGAGGCAGGATCTTCTAAGTTGCCCCAGCTGGCATCAAACCCTGGGGTCCTCCTGCCTCAGCCTCCGGAGTAGCTAGGATAAGAGGCATGCGCCAGCATGTGTGGACATGGCATATGCTTTCACGTGATTACTAACAACATTTTGTGTTCCGCATTTCAAAAACTTTTTTTTTTTACATTGTCCCCCTTGCATCTATGTAGACCTTATAAAATTATTTTGACATTATAAAAGTAAAAAAAGAAATAAAAAAAGCAGTTTAAATGTTTCAGTTTCCTATTGTAAAGGTGCTTGTTGAGTATCCTTGCAATACCCTTGAAGTAAAAAGTTAAAGTTTCCATCTGTACAAATCATTTTCTCAAATTATGTAAAGCTGTTAATCCTAGTTACTATAGATTTTTTTTTTTTTTGGTACTGGGCATTGAACTCATGACTGTGTGCCTGCAAGGCAGGCGTTTATGCTGCTGAGTTAAATCCCCAGTCCCTTTACCATATATTTCTATATCTCACATTCTTCATGTCTTTGTGCCTACAAGATGGTATCATTCTCCATTTTTACAATATTTAATGCAAATGCCATTCCAGAAAATGCCTTGGTCTTTGAGATTCCTTTGGAAAGAATCTAAAATGGACTATGTGCTCTCTCTGAGCAAAAGAACAGGAGATACCATAATGGCTTGCGTGGTTTTTTTTGTTTTTTGCATAACATCTTCTTTTACTTCTGAGTTAACTGTCATATTTGTTGCTTTATCTGATCTAAATCTGTAACCCTGAGGACAAATTCCATTATACCTGCTGTATCACCATATACCAGGAGGGCATGACTTATGTCTTACTTGAATTTGGTTAACCTAATTCAGAAGGAAAAAAACAGTGGGTCTCGAATGGACCAAGATACCTTTTTTTTTTCCTTTAGAGAACTAAATGTAAGTCTGTCTTTGTGAGAACTGGCATTTCATTGCAGTACAGGGAACTGTATAAGGCACATAGGCCACTAGGCTCTGGGACTCCCTACCTGCTGAGTCATAATCACTGGATCTGGCCTAGTCATGAGTACTTTGACAAGTTCCTCAGGATGACAGTGCTGGGCACCCTGGCCAAGAATCACTGATTTAAAGGGAAGGTGACTTGTAGTGCCTAAACTAGACTAAAATGTGAGTGATTTACATACTAAGGGAGTTAACTTTTCTGTTTCTTTTGCAGCATTGACAACAGTAGTATCTTCAGTGTTCGATATTTCAGAACCACAGCTGTGTGCAGTAAGTACCTGTTTTCTTATGAATGACATTGTAGTGGAAAGAGCCACCATTGGCTAAGTTTAATTAAAGAGAAAAACTTAAAAGGCGAGGGGAGGACTACTTGTGATTTTTGCTTTATTCCTAGAGGATGATGTGATTACAGTCAATACCCCAGCGTTTGCAGAATCTGTCACAGAGGGAGATGTCAGGTGGGAGAAAGGTAAGATTTAGTTTCTTCTCGTTAAATTTAAGTAGTTTTCTAACCCACTCCTTTCCCCAGTTCTAATCAGTAGAACCTCTGACTTGACACCTGTTTCTTTCATATGGATACATAGCTACATCCCCCAAGCTTTGTAGAAAAGGGGTGTATAATATTTTTGCTGAAACGCTCATGGCTGCTGGAGGCTCTCACCTGACAGGTAGACTGTGATTGTCTTTTCAGCTGTTGGAGACACAGTTGCAGAAGATGAAGTGGTTTGTGAGATTGAAACGGATAAGGTAAGCTTATCCTATATTGGAGGTAATTTTTTTTTTTTTTTTTTTTTTTGAGGTAATTTTTTATGATCAACCATGGGTTTCTTAATCTAAGGAAAGAAACAGGATTTAACTGTTCTTTAAAGATAATTTTTAACTAGCTCTAACCTTAGTTGTAAAAGTGTTGGAGTAACTCATTAAAAAGAAAAGCTGTTTGAGGTTATTAAGGGCAACTAGTTACTTTAATAACTTTAGCCACTTTATAACTAGTTTTTTTCTTTGTGATGCATAAACTGTTGCAGTTGCTTTTGTGTGTCTCATTTGGAAACACGTTAACTGAATTTGTTTTTAAGATTTCTATGTCTTGTGCTTGCTTCTGCAGTGTATATACTAAAATTAGAAAGATACAGAGATTAGCATGGCCTCTGGCAAGGATGACACACAAATTGGTGAAGTGTTCCATATTTAAAAAAAAAAAAGATTTCCATGAATGGATAGAGAGGGTGAATCTTCACAATAGCAGTGACTTGTCATTGCTCTGATTCAGAAAGGTGTTTTTGTGTGCAGGGACTTGAATAAATCATATTGTGACTTATGTTGAGGAATCGCCTTCTCTCTTTTTCCAGACATCTGTGCAGGTTCCATCACCAGCAAATGGTGTGATAGAAGCTCTTTTGGTACCTGATGGAGGGAAAGTTGAAGGAGGCACTCCTCTGTTCACACTCAGGAAAACTGGTGGTAAAGAAGTTCTCCGGGTGGTCAAGGTCTCCAGTGTTCCCCCGTGGCCTCGGGGCTGAGCGTGCTGTTCTGATAATTCCCTGACACTTCAGAGACTCTTTGGGGTTCTAGTTATCCTTAATTGAGGGTATAAGAAGAGTAATGTTGGGACTGGGGATTTAGCTCAGCAGTATAAGTGCCTGCCGTGCAAGCAGGCGGTCATGAGTTCGATCCCCGGTACCGATAAAAAGACAAAAAAAAAAAAGAGTAATGTTTATATAGCATGAACTTTAAATGTGGGGTTCTGGGGGAAAAAAGGTAACTTAAAATGCCTCATCTGTCCTTTCCATAGATATTTCTTGTTTCTTGCCCCATGGATGTTTCTTATATGGATCTTTTCTTAAAGCTACAAACAAAGGTTTTGAAGATAGCGCTCCCTTCTCTAACTCTGACTTCTGAATCATATGAGAGCTTTAAGAATAATACAGATAATTGGATGTGGTGGTGCGTGCCTATAATTTCAGCACTCTTGAAAAGCTAAAGCAAGAGGATCACAAGTTTGAAACGAACCTGGGCAATTCAGTGACTTAGTGAGACCCTGTCTCGAAATAAAAACTTTAGAAAAGGGCTAGGGACGTAGCTCAGTGCAAAGGTCTGGCTTCAGTCCTCAGTACCACAATATGTAAATGTATACATACATACAAATAACGTGTAGCTACCATCCAGAGGTTCTGATTTATTTATGTTCCCTTAGTGATTCTAATACACAACCAGCACTGACACCCATTGTTTTTTTTGTTTTGTTTTGTTTTGTTTTTATCGGTACCAGGGATTGAACTCACAACCGCACACTTGCAAGGCAGGCACTTATGGCACTGAGCTAAATCTCCAGCACTGACACCCATTGTTTTAAAATGAGAGAGTTATTTTTAAGTTACTTGTTTTGGAGAATTTAGTGTAGTTTCTGTTTTCTTGTAACATCTCAGGCATTTCTCTGGGGAGAAAAGAGAAAGAAAGAAATTTATACTGGTCCTCACAATTGGTATTTGAGAGATGTTTTTCTGACTTACTAAATGCTATAACTATTAACATGTATTTTTTTTTTTTTTTTATTTGTTAAAAGTCAACCAGAAAGATGTTAGATTACATCATTGAGGTTGATCAGGCCAAGCCAAGTTTGAAGTGGAAAAAACTGTACAGTAGTAGTTTAGGGAGTGATAATGAATCTTCATTGAAGTATATTTTCTGGTAATTCATTTTTTAATGTCAAAAGAAAATTCTTATAATTTAAATATAAAACTGGATATACTCTCCAGATAAGTAAAAATTGAAACCATCTGATTTAAAGTTGTTTATTATATGATTATCTCATTGATTTACGAGCATCATCCTAGATGGAGTGCTTTGAACTTTTAAGCTTAATGAGGCTGTGATTATACTATTTTTTAATGATGCAGAATATTCTAGCTGAGCATGGTGACACATGCCTGTAATCCTAGGATGTAGGAGGCTAAGTCAGGAGGATCACAAGTTCAAACCCCTTTGGGCCACATGGACTACATGGTGAGATCCTGTCTGTACCCCCCAAAAACGAAAAAAGTATTCTTTGATATGTAATGTTAAAATAGCTGAGTTTTATCAGTATTACTATAATTAGAAATGTTGCTGGGTGAGGTTGCTCATGCCTGTAATCCTAACTCTTGGGAGGCTGAGGCAGAAGGATGGCTGTGAGTTTGAGGTCAGCCTGGGCTACATAGTGAGACCCTGCCTCAAAAAAAACCAAAATAAACAGCAAGAAATGTTTACATTTCTGTGTACTTTTAACACTTGAATTTCCTGGGCTTGTTTTACTTGAAGGTTTTCATTTTCTTGGGCTCAGTTGATACTTTGAAAATATCTGCTGAGCTGAGTGTGATGATACACACTGGGAGGCTGAGACAGAAGAATTACAAATTTAAGCCCAGTCTGGGCAATTTAGTGACTTACTAAGATGCTCTCTAAAAGTAAAACCTAAAAAGGGCAAGGGACATAGCTCAGTGGGAAGGTACCAGGTGGCTAAGTTTGACAAATCAGTATTTATGTGACATGAAGGCAGCTAAATTGAGCCACTTAATCTGAGGCAGAGCATTTAGGGACCCTGGGGGATAGAGATAATGTCTTATACCATTGTATATATCTCATAGTGTCTTGCATATAGCAAATGTGCAGTAGACATTTTTTAATGGATTGGAAATAGGGCTTTTAAGTAAATTCTACTTAGAATCTGCGATTTGGTTGTCTTCATTCCAAACAGTGCCAGCAATGTCTATTTTTCTTTTTCAGCTGCACCTGTTAAGGCCAAGCCAGCCGAAGGTCCCACTGCAGCCCCAAAAGCAGAACCGACAGTGTCAGCAGTTCCTCCTCCCGCTGCTGCCTCCATACCTACTCAGATGCCACCAGTGCCCTCCCCCTCACAGCCTCCTTCTAGCAAACCAGGTAAGCCTCCAACGGAGAAAAACGCTTGTCAAATACCACACTCCCTTACTAATTATAGAACAGGTTGGCTGCTTTGTGGATCTTCAGACTTTGTATCTGAAGGTCTGGGTTTACTCCAGGTTTTCTGTTTGGTAGCTCTGTGACTTTGGCTACTTATTTCTTGAGATTTTACAGCTGTGAAGTCAGAGTGATATAATACATCTTAAAATATCTTGTTGACGGGGCTGGGGATTTAGCTCAGCGGCATAAGCGCCTGCCTTGCAAGCAGGCAGTCCTGAGTTCGATTCCCGGTACCGATAAAAATGAAAAAGGAAAAAAAAAAAATATATATATATATATATATATATATATATACACACTACACACACATATATCTTGTTGACAATTAAGTGATGGTTCAGTATGAGTACACTATGAGATGTTCCTTTCTCTTGTGATACAGCCATACCTTCTTTCTTCATTTTCAGTCTCTGCCATTAAACCCACAGCTGCACCTCCACTGGCTGATTCAGGAGCTGGTAGAGGTCTGCGTTCAGAACATCGGGTAAGCCTCTGAGGACTATTTTCAAGAAAGAGGTGGGGGCAGTATTGAGATTAATGGAATATGAATGTAATTGTGCCTGCCATTGAATGGATAGCAGTTCATGCTGTTGGCCTTGATAAAGAAATCAAGTGTGGAAAATGGCTTGTTTGTGGTCACATAACCATCAAATGATAGGACTAGAACCTGAGGTCTTCTCTATAATTGTCCCATGGTTTTTCCACCATTTTTTCACTTGTCCTGTAGTTTTTCCACTATGCCTTTTCACTAGGTTATGCTACCAATGAAATGCCATGTGTAAAGCATTTGCAGGGAATACCAACTTAGTAATACACTCCACACCATTACAGTGATGCAAACTTTAGAGAGGTAGTTTAGTGGGAGCTCTGGCCCTATATTTCCTGGATACTCAGCTGTAATTTAGGTATATAATACACAGTGGCAGTATCTGTCAGGTCAAAGATAAAATCTTAAGGAAGTGTGGTCAAGAGTGTGGGTTTGTCTGCCTGAGACTATTTTCTAAAAATACTCTAGCTTCAAAAGTTTCTTGCTTGTGAGTTTCTGTTCTACAATTAGCTGTTCTCATGAAGGTCTTTACCAACAGAAATTCTCTCTTCAGGAATGATTCTTATATGGCTAGACAGACCTATATACCACATTCTTCCTTTTTATGCGTTGGTTTTGGTTTGTAAATCACACCATTTCCTGGGGCCTCCATTCCTGGCCAAAATTTAAGCACATCTGAGTGAGTACTTTAGGCTTTTGTTTCCTCATTGTTGCTCAGAGAAGGAAAGCCACCACAGGAAAGCCTGGAGCTACTTAAATACAGTAGTCCTTGCCATTTTTCCTGGCAAACTTAACTGTCAGACTATATGGGGAATCCTTGAACCAGAGATCAGGTCGTCAATACTTTCCAACTTTCACTTTCAGGAAAAAATGAACAGGATGCGGCAGCGAATTGCTCAGCGTCTGAAGGAGGCCCAGAATACATGTGCAATGCTGACTACTTTCAATGAGATTGACATGAGGTGGGATCTCTATCTCCGTGTCTCCATGTTCTTTTTTGGGGAGGTGGCCCCAGCAATAGCCCTCACCTATTGCTGACTGTAAAACTAGCTGGACAAGGAAGAGGTACTTCTTGGCTTTGTTTGCTGTTGATTTGTACAGGACAACCCTTGGTTGGCGTTGTTTTCTTAATACAACGCCTGCATCCTCTCTGATGTAAGAAACTTAGCCTTTCAGACTTTTATACCTGAATCTTGTGATTTCTGATAAATGAGGCTAGTAATAGTTTTAAACTCCAATGACTAGTGTTAGATTGCCAACCAGAGATGGGGCAACCAGGCCAGTAGGGCCAAATCCCAGATCTGGTCATGGATGGAGAACCCCTGACAGAATTTCTTCAAGCCAGAGCTAGGGATTTAGCTCAGCAGCACAAGCACCTGCCTGGCAAGTGCAAGGTCATGAGTTTGCTCCCTAGTACTCCCCTCCCCCCAAAATTTTGGAGCCAGATCCCTGCATACTGATTTCTTTTCCCACAGTTCACTGTTTCTTGTGCATGTTCCTGAGTGACTCACAGTCAAACAGGGCTTTCATTTCTCCCATCTGTAGTAGTGTAATGGAAAGCAGAAACAAAAACATCAGAATATTAAAGGGACTAATTCACTGTGCCCATTTCTGTAGTGACCTCATTTGTTGATTCACCTGTTTTCTTCAAAATCTTTTTTTTTCTTTTTTTTTTTTTCCCCTCTAATACTGGGGAATCAAACCCTTGGGAGCTCTACCAGTGAGCTACATCCCCAGCCCTGTATGTATGTACATATATGTATGTATATATGTATGTGTTTTGAGATAGTTTCGCTAAGTTGCTCCCTGAGTACTTGAATTAGAGGTGTTGGCCATTGCACCCAGCTTTCTTCAAGATTTTGATTTATGCAAGTATCAGTACTACAGGGAAGAGAAAGTAGTTGAGTGTAACAAATATATTTTGTGTGTTTATTATCTACAGGAAGGTAAAATATAAAGGGGGATATAAAAAGAAGCTCTGGCCCTCTACAGCTTATCATCGGGTTTAGATGAACCCAAAGTAAAATGTAGGAGGAAAAATGAGTATGAAATAGAAAAGGAGTGAGTTCATTTTTGTGTGAGATTGGAGGCAGTAATAGCAGGGGAAAGGTCAGAGAGGCTTTCCTGGAGAAAAGAATTTTTAATTGGCTTTCAAGAAGGACTACCATTCCACTGGACATGACAGTGCCTGCCTGTAATCCCAGCTGCTTAGGAGGCTGAGGCAGGAGGATTGCAAGTTTGACTTAGCAAGTCAAACTTAGCAACTTAGCAAGAACCTATCTCAGGGCTGGGGATGTAGTTCAGTGGTAGCATCACAAAGCCCTAGGTTTAGTCTCTGTTACGTCAAGAGAATGTGATTAGCGTTTTAGCAAGTTGCATTGCAGAGAAAGGTCATTCCAGACAGTGTGAACAATCTGGACCATGACAGAAGCAAAAGTGTAAGAAATAGTCAAAGATAATTTCTGCCATGAAAAATATGTATAGGAAAGAATGGAGTATGCTTCTGAATGTTTTGAATGGCAGGGTAATAATTTAGATTAAATCGAGACTTAAAGTCTTTAGGTCATTTCTTTGCTTCCTTTTATCTAAAGTATTAAGTCTATTCATCTACTTTTTTTTTGAGGTACCAGAAGTTGAATCCAGGGCCTCATACGTGCTAAGCAAGTGGTCTCCCACTGAGCTACATCTCCAGCCCTGCTTTTCCACTTTTCATCAGAGAAATTTGTTTTCCTTTGGAAGGGGTCTGAAAAATAAAAGGTTGTGGCTAATGGGCTGTGTTGGGGCATTGTTGACAGTTTGTGCTGATCTCGGTAGATGTCATCCATTCTGTTAGGAAGCTTTCTAAAGAGACTGGATGTCATTTCAGCCAAAGATTTCTCTTCTGCCCGAAGTATGTAGAGAAGGACCTTGCCTAATGAATCACAAAGGCTACAGCTTATGTTTCAGTGCATTAGGGCCAAATTGAATTGAACTTTGAAATTCTATCCAGTTTCTTAAGATGAAACATGTAAATATTTGTGACCCTGAAAGGTGCAGTTGGCTCAACAGCCTTGATTGGAAGGTAAGTACAATGGCTATATTATTTCCTTTCAGCAGCTAATTGAGGTGTCACCTAACAGGGGTCTAGAGTCTCACTGTAGCCAGTAATCTGGTTTAGATCGAGTGCCCTTTGGTCCTGTATGGATCGGCTAACCTATAAGGGCCTTTCTGAGACTTCCGCTTTTCCCGTGTTGTTCCAGTTCTGCCTCCAAGGGCAGAGCTCTGAAATAGAAACTCCTTAATGACCAGACAGTGGCAGTCAGGCAGGTTTGAGAGCAGAGATATTTATCACTTCTCTTTGCCTCTTCTGCAACACTTCTGTCTTGGGAACCAGTAATGTCTTTAGAGTGGTAACCCTAGCACTAAATAGGGTTAGACTCAGGAAAACAAACATTTAAAACCCAATCAGTCCCCCTAGGAAATTTTCCTTTTTTAAAAACAGAAGATCTGAAGGAGATAGTTAAAGTTGTACTACTACTTATCTTTCTTGCTAATGTCGGATTAAGCCATTATAAAGGGAAAAGGAGATTTGGGCATTTAGGCCTGAGATAAAGTTAAATTTGATTTTTGTCTTGAAATGCTATTCCGATAAATACAGAGGTTTCTGCAGCAAACCATTTCACACTAGCTTTACAGTGTGTGTGCGAAAAAATAGTCCAGTGTCCAAAAGCTATTCAGATTGAAAAGGCTTCTCAGCAGTGAGGCCCTGCTGCTGAATCTGAAGGGGACAGGCCTCTTTCCACATGGGACCACTTTTCTAAGTACCAAGGAAAATATACCTATTAAACTAAGCTTAAGGGCAAGCACTACATCTTAATTGTCTTTGTGTCTTGGTACCCAGCCCTGATGTAAATGTGGTGATACAGTGCCTGTTTTGAAGGAGCAAACAGAACTGCTAACTTCGAAGGGATGAAGAGCGAATCTGCTGGAAAAAACACAGAGTTTGTCCTTTCCTGTATAGCTTTTGTTCATGTGGAGAACCCATACACCCAAACCCTTTAGGTGGTTTTTTTCTTTTTTTAATTTTTCTCTCATTAGAAAGGAATTCCTTTTTTCAGTGGTGCTAGCTAGGGATTGTGCCTGGTAGACAAGTACTCTACCACTGAGCCACATCCCCAGCCCCATGTTTAGTGGCTTTAAAAAATAATTCTGACAAATAGGCATTGTTTACTTAGTAGATTTTGCTTAAAACTTCCCCCCCCAAGATAGCTCATGATTTTAACGTAGCCTGAAATAATTTCTCATCTAGGGCAAGGATACTGGTGTGCCGTAACGTAACTGCTCCTTCATTTTCTTTATCACTGAAACCTATGACTTCTAGAACATGAAAAAGCCCTGTAAAGGCCTCATTCCACCCTAAAAGAGAGATTGGCTCTGATTATTTTTTAATTAATTAATTATTTTGATGTACTGGGGATTGATTGATGGAGCTACATCTCCAGCCCCTTTAAAAAATTTTTTTCAGACAAGATCTTGCTAATTTCTTAGTTGCCTAAGCTGGACTTCGATTTGCAGTCCTCCTGCCTCAGACTTCCAGAATAGTGAGATTGCAGACATGTACCAGCATACCCAGGTTGGCCCTAATTCTTTTATATTAGGTTTTTGTGAAAGAACAAGGTTGAGCCGGGCGTGGTGGCTCACGCCTGTAATCCCAGCACTCGGAGGCTGAGGTGGGAGGATCATTGCAAGTTTGAGACCGGCCTGGGCTACAACGTGAGCTCAAGGCCAGCCTGAACTGCACAGCAAGACACCGTCTCAAAAAAAGACAAAAAAAGAAAGAAAGAACAAGGTTATTGTGTTGACCTTTAGTGAAATATTTCAAAGCTTGAGCTTAGGTAAATGGTCTAGAATAGGGAAAAGCTTACACAGTTGTGTATATGGATAGAAACTCAGGAAAAGTAAAAAATCAAAACTTCTTTTGTGGTCACTTTCTTTTGTAACATGTTTTTCAGTAACATCCAGGAAATGAGAGCTCGGCACAAAGATGCTTTTCTAAAGAAACATAACCTCAAACTAGGCTTTATGTCAGCATTTGTGAAGGCCTCAGCCTTTGCCTTGCAGGAACAGCCTGTTGTAAATGCAGGTGAGTCTCTTGTGGCCAGAATTGCAGAGGTTTTAGGAAGTATGTGTGTGAATACAGACTACTCTGACATTTTGGGGTCAGCACACTGGGCCTTTTTATTTCCTAGATGGGAAATAGGGCCAGTTTCCCCAGGGATTCATTGATTTACTTTCGTGAAATACCTTTGGTTACTGTCTTCCCTCCAAACGGCCAGAGCAGTTTCTCTTCCCAGTGCACAGTGTGGCGGCTGCTTTGACTGCTTGTCCTCCAGGCCATCTCATGTTGGGATGGAAGCTTGTAGTCTGGCTATCCCCAGGACCCCCAACCCACTCACCTGATGGGCCTATGATCTGGGGCCTGACTTCCACACTTGATATAGGCTGTAGGTTGATCTTTGATCTCTCTGAGATGAGTCTCTTTGGGAAGCCTTGGGGTTGGCCTCTCTTGAGGAGTTGATACTCGTTCTTTCCTTTTGAATCATTCACATCATTGACATGCTGACTTGACAAGTGGTTTTTTCCACGTTGAGACACTTCTGTGTTCTCTGGAAGGCTGGAGAGAGGGGTCAGTGACATTTCTGCAGTCCTCAGCAAGAGAGCTAGAAGTAAGGGGCCCTAGTCCTTTCCTTACTGTACTCTAGGTAGGTAGAAGGGCTTTCTCTGCTTTGCCTGATATGTTCTCTTTGTTTCTCACATTCTTACATCTTTTTGACTGGTTTTCTCTGTGTTTTCCTTTGGCCTCCATTCTGTACATTCTTCTGCCTGTACACACTTGTGAGCATCTTGTGAGCGTCAAAGTTCTCTTGGTTTCTATTCATTTTACATGCTTTCATTGGTGCCTTGTCTAATACTAAACTTAGACTCTTGTTCTGTGGAAAAGAGTCCTAAGCCTTTATTTTCTCATGAATGCTAGATATAAATGTGCCATCTCACACTGACATAGTTAAAAGTTAGATACCAGGTTGCTACTGAATCTCTTAGTAAGAAGCTCCCCCTTCCTCTTGTGAGCAGGGAGCAGAATAGATAAACCCTGACTCCTTTGCCATTTGCCCTTTTGCAGCACTTATTAACACTGTGCAGTCTCAGAGGGCATGAGCAGAGCTAGTTAGCCAGAACGTAGTATGCTCACATCCCATGAAAGTCAGTGTGTTGATCCATTCTGAGGACTGCCAGAAATGGATGCTGCTTCCACACAGAGGAGTCAGCAGGGAACTTGGGAGATGGCTTTGTTGGTTGGGATGGGAGTAAGTACAGTGCCAGCTGCCATTTGTAAATTCATGCTGTTTGGCCAGCCCACACTGTATCAATTACTATTAAGGCAAATGTTAGCTTATTAACCCTAGCTTGGGAAGTGTGTGTGACATGTGTTTTTTCTTACAGTGATTGATGATGCAACCAAAGAGGTGGTGTATAGGGACTACATTGATATCAGTGTTGCAGTGGCCACTCCACGGGTACGTTGGGGCAGGAGGTGGAAGTGCTGATCTTGAATCCTCAGTGTAATTGTGAAAAAGCAGAAGATATGGGAGAGATCATTTCTGTAATTCTGTATTTTTAAGTGGTAGTTTGTAATTTTTTTTTTCTTTAACTGTACCACCTTCTTATTTATCTTAATGTTAAGCCTTAATACCTTAGGCTTTCTTTTAATTGCAGTGAGTAATAAAAGGTATTGTGAATAGGGGAGACCATTAGCTTGAATCAAGCAAGTTTATGTAAAAAGGGTACTGTTAATTTGCAACTGAAGACAGCCTTTCACTGTTTTCAGGGTCTGGTGGTTCCTGTCATCAGGAATGTGGAAACTATGAATTATGCAGATATTGAACGAACCATCAGTGAACTGGGAGAGAAGGTAAAGTAGGCAATAGCACATGTACAAACTGTTGGGAAGAAGGAAGAGAGTCTGTAGAAGGCTGTATTCTAATTCTAGATGCCAAGAAAGGCAGTAGCCCATAAGAGCTAAGTACAGACATCAGCATTGGCTTACCATCCTCAGGTGACTGAAATCTTCATCGAGGAGGCTTGCTGGGGGGGAGAATGGTGGGCTGGAATCATGCCTCTTCTCCAGGGGAGCACTAGTCAGTCTCCTTGGCTGAATGACTGTCATGTGGAAGCTAGAGCTGTCACTAGTATCTCAGATAGAGCTTTCTGGATTGACTTTCTTTGGGTGAAAGAACATGTTTCAGTTCTGAAATTTCTGTTTTTAGGCCAGAAAGAACGAACTTGCCATTGAAGATATGGATGGTGGTACTTTCACTATTAGCAATGGAGGCGTGTTTGGCTCACTCTTTGGAACACCCATCATCAACCCTCCTCAGTCTGCCATCCTTGGCATGCACGCCATTTTCGACAGACCAGTGGCTGTGGGTGGCAAGGTAGGAACCTCACTTCTCAGGTCCTAATAGCTAGCTGATGCTAAGAAAGAACTAAATGTTTACTAATAAGTTAAAGCAATCACTATAATTTCAAGCCTAAGTTACATCTCTTAGTTTTAACTAATAGAGTGTAGATGCTAATTCTAAAAGTGTTGTACAGTCAGCATCATTTGGAAACTGAAATGCAGATTCTTGGAGTCTTTCCCAAAGCTACAGAACCAGGTGTACAGACAGTTGGAATGTGCCTTACAAGTTTGAGAACCATGGAGCTGAAGAGGCTCATACCAGGCAGTCGTGAGTTCGATCCCTGGTACTGATAAAAATGAAAAAGACAAAAAAAAAAAAAAAGAGGCTCACACCTTCATCTGGGATTAGTTGACATGCTTCATTGCCAGCTGGGAACTGAGGGACAGAGTTAGAAATGTACTCTTTGCTCCTGGGAAACAAAGAACAAGAAAGCACAGTTTATGAGCTGCAGAAGTATATGATCAGACTTAAAAGTTTTCTGGCAGTTTAAGGAATGAGGTCAAAGGGCTTCAGCTAGTTCTTAAAAGATAGATTGGTAGAAGCTGGGGATTTAGCTCAGCGGCATAAGCACCTGCCTTGCAAGCAGGCGGTCATGAGTTCGATCCCCGGTACCGATAAAAAGAAAAAAGGAAAAAAAAAAGACAGGTTGGTAGTAGCTGGGCATGGTGTCAGCACTTGGGAGGCTGAGGCAGGAGGATACTGCAAGTTCAGAGCCAGCGTGAGCTATATAGTGAGTTCAAGACTAGCCTGAACTACATAATAAGACCCTGTCCAAAAAAAAAAAAAGATTTCTACAAAAAAGCTTTCTGAAACATATGTTTGGAAGAGTTCTGGATCGTTTACTTTTTTGTGACTCCAAAAACCTTAAATCTTGTCCCTTGAAAGTGGCCATGAGCCCAGGTTTGCATACATTGTGGGACCTACAAATTTATTTCTTTATATGGAACTCTAGGGTAGAGTTGTGCCTCAGTGGTAACGTGCTGGTCTAGCATGCACAAGACTAGTTTGATCTTTCAGCTCTGCAAAAGTGCTTGAGTTGTAACTGGAAAGTGCTTAGTGGGCAGCTGAACTTAAAGAGAAAACCTCCTGTATCTTCTGTATCCGAGATATTAGTGACAGCTGTAGCTTCTACATGACAGTCATCCAGCTGAGCAGACTGACTATTGCTTCACTGGAGAAGAGGCATGATTCCGGCTCACCTTGCTTTCCCAGCAAGTCTCCTCTGAGATTATAGATGGGTTAGAGGGCAACGTTGTTTCTTGTTTATTTTTTTAGTTTTTTTTTTTTTTTTTTTTTTTTTGGCTTTTTTTTGAGACGGAGTCTCTATATGCAGTTAAGGCTGGCCTTGAGCTCACGTTGTAGTCCAGGCTGGTCTCGAACTTGCAATGATCCTCCCACCTCAGCCTCCCAAGTGCTGGGATTACAGGCGTGAGCCACCACGCCTGGCTCTCTTGTTTAAATTTTTTTTTCTGAGTAGGAGAACATTGCAGTAAGGGTAAAGGTAGTCTTTGGAATCGTCCTAAGTATCCAGGAGTAACATTACTAGAAAAGGCTTGGAAGCAGGAGATTTCCTGTGGCCGTGTGTGCTCATCCCACTCCCTTCAAGCTGGAGGCAGATCTCTTATCCTCTCCTCTTTGCAGGTGGAGGTGCGGCCTATGATGTATGTGGCACTGACCTACGATCACCGGCTGATTGATGGCAGAGAGGCTGTGACTTTCCTCCGAAAAATCAAGGCAGCGGTAGAGGATCCCAGAGTCCTCCTCCTGGACCTTTAGGAGGAGGCCACACGCCCTACAAATCAATCATGCAGGAACTGAAAAACCAGACTTCTTCCTGACCCCCATGAGTCCCAAGTTAGCCTGGTGACAGGCAGGCACATTCTGCTGGCCTCGAGCAAGGAAGCCAGGGCACTATGTAACCAGCAGTCACAGGTCGTCTCTTGTTATCCCCACCAGGCTCACTCTCATACCCTTCTCTTGCCTTTAGATATCTTATTTGTGTAGGCTTGAGAGAGAGAGAACTTTAATGGATGCTCATTAATATTCCTGCTTTTCTTTCATTAACCCTCTGCAAAGATGATTTTGCTTCTCCCCACTGCTAGTATACCATAGGGAAACCACTGGGGACCATGTGACAAAATTTCCATCTTTGGACAGTGTTCTCCAGAGATGTCTAGGGAGGATACTGTTCTTCCCACGCTCAGCAGCATCTTTCCCAGTTGTCCTCCTTCTCACTTGATGCCACCTGTGTGGAGGCATTGAACACAGGCGAAGAGGTGCTGCTTTGCTTCTTAAATGGCACCGTCATACTCAGTTGTCAGTGACTGCAAAATGCCTCTTCTACCTCTTCCAGGCAGCACAGGCCAGGGAACCAGGGGTGGGCTTGAATGCTGATTGGGAGGAGAGGGCAAAGTCCTTGTGAGGTCATACTGTAATCACAGATGGGAGCAGAGCCCAGGCCTGCCCTCACACTCTTAAGTCAGTGGCTCACCCAGGAAAACTCATTTTGGCATACCCTACAGAAGTGTGGTCATGCCAGTCCTTCGCAGGCTGCTAGGAGCCGTCCTAGTACATTGTTTTTGTTTAGTGCAGATGCTAGCACATCACAGCAGTGGACAGAGCCTGGTCACAGCAATGTTGAGAGCCAGAGAGCAGAGGCATCCTTTGACCAACTCAGATTGACTTGAGCTTTTAAGCTCAAGTTATTTAAGCAGGTAGACCAAGATGCCATTCTCTTTCTCCCCATGTGTGGCCGCAAGGGAATGGGGCCTTGACTCTTCCCATGCAGGGACACTGGTTTAGGGGAGGGTGGAATATGGTGGGGACTAGCCCCGAGGTGTCAGTGCTTGGTGGTGAAGTGGCCGATGTCATCTCAGGCACTGCGCTTTGGGTCTGGGCAGTCATTGAAGTTCCTTGGAGCATGGCTGTGGTCATGAAAGCTGCTGGACTTGTGGCTTTGTATCCACTGCATCCAGGCCTGAGACTGCTGGCACTTGACATAGAGCCATTAGTGCAGCCCTTTTTAATCTTGAGCCGAGAAGCAAGGTGGGGAGGGGGGAGGGCCAGTACTGAGTGCCTGCAGCATTTGCTACTCTGTCTTCACCACGCAGACCTTGTCTCTAAAATATTTAAAGAACTGACTTTGAATGAAAATTAAAGGGCAAATATTCTCAAACAAGGTCCCTGCATCTGTGCTGTTTTTGGTAACTGAGGTCGTACAAGTGCTGCTACATTCGCTTTGAAAGTCCAGTTGGCTGTCCTGTGGAGTCCTGTCCTTTTGACATAAGTTACCACCATACTAACACTCCAGAAGTGTGAACCCTCTGCCAGCTGAGAGCATGCTTTTCTCCAAGACTTGGGATTCCTGACAGAGCCCCGTGAGCCTGGCAGACCAGACTCTTGAAGGAAATTTGTGCTTTGTGCTGGCTCCCTCAAAATGCCAACAGATAAGTTTTGTAGGGGTTTGGAATATTTCTGGGGTGAACTGGGGAGTTGGGACAACTCAAAATTTCACTTGGTCTTGATCATGTGTGCACTAGGGTGCTCCAGATTAGTGTGAATAAATGAGGGAAGGTCACTCAGGAGGAAGAGGAGTCTGACAGGGTCAGTGGACAGCATCGGGAGCTAATCTAGACTGATGGCAGGTAACAGGCAAAACAGTCCAGCTTTCCATGTACCCTGTCTTTCCACATAGAATCCTTGTCTACTGATTGGCTTGAAAATGAGACCATCCTATGGAGAAGGAAGTAGGCCACAGAGGGGAGAACTACAGCTTGTAAAAAGAGAAGGAAAACAAAAACCAGGCTCACGAAAAGAGCTTGTGAATAGTCTGTCAGGTCTAGTCCTTGGTGTGAGAGCATTCATTCTTCTAGTGATCCAGAGCAGCCTCATTTTCTTGAAAGATCAATCTAATCTGGTCAAGAGTATTCTAAACCGAGAGCCCGATAAAGAGCCAAGATGAGCAGTGTGTCTTGGCTGGATGATGCTTTGCTTCATGAAGCAGTGGTTGGCAGTGGCCTGAACTCCTGAACTGGGAGGATCGTAGGAGGAAGAGCAGATTGGAGGCTGGCTGCGGCAGGCACTGAGTAGGCTGTCAGAGGCTCAGTTTGCTCAGTAGCTACGTCTCCTGAGGAGTCAGGTGAAGATTAAACTAGCGTGTCACCTTGACACCCTCACTCTTCCTGTTTTTTGGTTGTATTTGAGGCCATGACTTGCTCTGTAGTTTAGGCAGACCTCAAACTTGGCAGTCCTGCCTTGGACTCCCAAATGCTAGGGTTACAGGCATGTGCCATCATGCCTGGCTGCTTCCTCTTACTTCCCATCGAGCCCAGTACCCCACCACCTGGTGGTGACCACTTCCCGAGTCTGAGTAGGCTGTCAGAGGCTCAGTTTGCTCAGTAGCTACGTCTCCTGAGGAGTCAGGTGAAGATTAAACTAGCGTGTCACCTTGACACCCTCACTCTTCCTGTTTTTTGGTTGTATTTGAGGCCATGACTTGCTCTGTAGTTTAGGCAGACCTCAAACTTGGCAGTCCTGCCTTGGACTCCCAAATGCTAGGGTTACAGGCATGTGCCATCATGCCTGGCTGCTTCCTCTTACTTCCCATCGAGCCCAGTACCCCACCACCTGGTGGTGACCACTTCCCGAGTCTGCTCTGCACGCCCCAGGCTCGCTCTTTCAACACTTTTTTTTTTTTTTTTTTTTTGTCTTTCTCCTTTTTATGGGTACCGGGGATCGAACTCATGACTGCCTGCTTGCAAGGCAGGCGCTTATGCCACTGAGCTAAATCCTCAGTCCCAGCTCTTCAACACTTTTAAGGGGGCCTTGCACCTGTTCCTTCAGGCTGGTAACTCACTGCATTGATGATTCAAGTATATCACAGGAAGAGCGGGTTTTATTAAGGGATGGGCAAGCCCCAGGGAGAGCCAAGACACAGACCAAAGGGAGTTGGCTGCAGGCTGTGCTTTCCATCCTCTCTTAGTTGGTGTGGCTCAAGAGTTGGCTTTCGAGCCTCGAATGTCCTGCGTCAGTGGCTCCACCTGGTGGTGATGGAGACTGGTAGGAAGGAGGTGGGCCAGAGATATAGTGAAGTTTGTCTTGATGCCACAGCCCAGTGACAGGTGAGTCCTGAAAGGAGCCCTCAAACCTGGGAGGAGTTGTCTTTGAGGTACTCACCCCAGTTCTTCAGAGACCAGAAGCAGCTTGCTTCTGACAAAGAGTAATCATTCCACGTGTTTTGTGGTTTCTCATTCTAAGAGTGGAATCAGGGTGGGCAGTGAATTGAGTAGCATTTGATGACCAAAATGCAGAAAGCTGAAGAGAACCAACTCCTAAGATGGAAATCCTGATGGGCATGATCTGCCTTAGCTACCTCACCCATTTCAGACCCATGGGACGGGCGCCCCCGACACAGCTGGGCCAGCTGAGGACGCTTTTTCGTTTCTTCAAATGTGGGCTTAGTGGCAGAACTGTGCCTGTCTTTCCCCCTCCCCCTTTTTGCTCTCCAAAACCTGAAATCACAAATCAGGAGCCTGAGCAGGAGTGGAGAGGCATCATCCTACCCCCACCCACCCCACTCTGTAGACAGCTTCTGGGGAGCAGTCCACTCTCACGACAGGACAGCCCTAGTTTGGGTCCACTGAGCCAGTGACCTGAGATGAGTCTCTAGAGATGTCGCAAGTGGCAGTGAGTGTCACAAGACCTTGAGGTAGGCTCAGCAGGCGGTCAGTTCAGAGCTATGCGATGGAAAGCGGTACCCTTGAGCGAGGCAGGTCTGTGTTAAAGGTGCTGGGTGTGCCCAACAGGTGTCTGTCGACATGGATGGAAGGGTGAGCCCTGCTGCCCCTTGTAGCTTCTCTGTGGATGGCCCTTCTGGAGCGATGGCAATAACTGCTTCTGAGGCCCAAACGGAGCTGAGCAGGAAAGGCCCTACATCCTTGGCCGGAAGCTCACTGAGCAGAGGGCCCAGCCCAGGTGATAGGCAGAGACAGAGGAGATACAGGCCAGGCCAACGTTTTCCATTGCCGGCTCTGCCCCTCTTACCCTGCCAGTCTGCTCCACGGGATAGTACTGAAAAAGGGGTGGGACTTGAGTTTGCTGACACCACCTCCTCTGGCCCCCAGGCGCCTCATGGGATCAAACTGCAGCAGCTGCAGGGAGAGGGAGGTCAGCTCCCGAAGGCCTTTATACCCACTGGCAGAAGGAGCCCATCTCCAAGGGCTCACTCCCACCAACCCAACCCACAGACCCCTTTGTAGGGAGACATTGGTGGTGGCTAGCTTCTAACTTACAGAAACCCTATCACCCTTTGGCACCTACTTCACACACACACAGCTCACACACATGGTCATGGGGAGTCTGTCCACTCACCCCGCTGCCCATAGGCCAGGAAGTCGCCTCTAGGCCAGGCTGTAGCTCACCTCAGTCAGCAGTGAGGCTGCTGGGTGACTGAGCCCCTCCGGCAGCTGGAGATGGGTGTGGGCCTGGAATCCTGAGGGGTGGCTCTGGGACAATGCCTGTGAGGACACAAGGAAGAGGAGCGTTTCCCTGCTCTTGGGTCACATTCCACAGGCATGATATCTGTAGCTACCTTTTGCTTAGGATCTATGGTATGCTAGACTTGCCAGATCCCTGTCACACACATTAAAGACAAGCAGCCTCCGAGGAAAAGGGTTTGAACCAAGGTCAATGGCGCCCTGGCTGTGAACTTGTTAGAAGCATGGATCTTGGGGCTGGGGATTTAGCTCAGTGGCATAAGTTCCTGCCTTGCAAGCAGGCAGTCGTGAGTTCGATCCCTGGTACCGATAAAAATGAAAAAAAGACCAAAAAAACCAAAAAAAAAAAAAAAAAAAAAGAAGCATGGATCTTGGGTTTCCGTCAGGACAGGCTGTAGGGAACAGCACTGAAATTTGTCTCCTTAAAAAAAGCCTCCATGGTATTATTCATTTGACAGCAAACCAGGCACGCTGCCCTTGTGCCATGGGGGCATAGCAAGAGAAAAAAGACCATGTCACACCTCAAAGTGCTACATGGAGAGAGCAGAAGATCAGGAAAGTAATGCAGGGCCCTGGGAACAGGACAAAAGCAGGGAGCAAGGAGGGGCTGGTCCGACCTGGACATCAGGTCACACCTCAGGCGTCCGGTGTGTTTTCTGCTCAAATGCAGTTTGGCCAGTCCCTTGTTTCCCAGCCTAACTGGCCCAGATGCACTGCTGAGATCATCCCTATGGCAGACAAAAGTCAGAGCTGTCCCTTGAAGCAGGAAAGTGCAGGGGAGCTAAGCTCTGGGGGCTACAGCCCCAAAGGGCAGGGATGGGAGGAGTGAGCGGTACAGGGGGGCATTTACCAGGAGGATGAGCCAGGGGACTTCCAAGCAAAGAGGGCTGTGTCAGGTCTTACCTTATCTAAACCTAGGCCCAGGTGCTCTTTTTTCTTGAAACCTTTCCTGAGTATCTCAATGCTTCCACAAAAGCTGAGTCTCATTAGCGATAGCTCCTAGTCCGGTGGGTGCACTAAGTGTGCCTGTGGCTTACTGGGAATGACTTCTGTATCTTTAGTGGCCCATGGCTTGTGGCCTGGCAGGACACCCACCCCAAGGACCAGGTCTTAAAGAACCAGGCAGCTTCTGCCCAGACACTTAAGTAGACTAAACCTTTCCATCCCACACTGAGAGGCAACTACCAGGGCTCCACACCCTGCCAGCTACTCACCATTCCTGTCAGCAGTTCATACAGTATTGCGCCAAAGCTCCACCAGTCACAGGCTTCAGTCAGCTCAGCAATCCCACCCACCTCTGCAGGGGCAAGAACACACAGCCCTGCTTCACCCAAGGGCCCTCTCCATTCTCCTCAACTACCACCCTCCTTGTGGTGCCAGCCCCCAGGTTCAACCTACACAAAGGCACCCACGGTCTAGGGACCCCTTCTTGCCTGGGGCACTGTATAGATGGTCCATAGCCTCTCTGCAGCACTGGGGCTCCACCTCTGACCACTGGCCAAAATATGTGAGACGGATATGACCTTCTCGTCCAGTGTGAGTAGGGAGAATGAGGGGGACAGAGGATGAGCAGAGCATCACTGAGCAGCTGGGGTGGGGGAGGCAGCTCCAGGGCTTCCCCTACATAGTGAAAGGGGCAGGAGCCAAGAGCTGTGTTGGAAGAATCTCCCTAAGGGCATGGCCTTGGGAACCCAAAGATCGTGGGTACTCCTATGAGCTGCTGCTTTAGACGTGGGGACAAAGGCTGCCAGACACAGGTAAAATTCTGTGAGGAAGGGGAAGGCAGCATGGAACCTCAGAGTTCTCCTTGAGTCAGGGGCTTCCTAGGCAGGGCAGTGTGGCCAGGGTCCTACCTGCCTGATCCAGGAGCAGGTTCCGGGGGTTGAGGTCCCGGCATAGCACCCCCTGCTCGTGTAGCGCCTCCAGTGCCAACAGCAGCTCAGCCGCCCACTGCTTCACCTGCTCCTCCCTCACACTCCAGACAGCCCAGCCACATATCAGGCTGGACCTGTCCACTGCTGGATAGCTGTGACCTCTGCCTCGGCCACAGCCCCCCAGGACCCGGCTGGCACCCTCACGAACCCAAGGGGGCCCAGGAGCTGCACTCTGGCCAGCCCGCCTGGCTTGTGGGTGCAAGGGGCCACTTGGTGCTTTTGGGAGCTCTGAGGAGCAGGAAGTGCTGGTCCTGGCTATGGATTTACTTTCAGGCTCTCTCTGGGACCTGCGGGACAGCGTGTCCCCAACTGGGGTGGATGGGGGAAGGCTCTGAGAAGTCCGAGGATGCTCCGGTGGGATTATGTCCTGCACGATGGTCCTGCACGATTGGGGAAGCCGTGCTGAGGTCAGGAGGCTGAGGCACGTGTTGAGCTGGGATCTCATCTTCTGAGTGGAGCCAGACCTCAGGCCAGAGTGCTGGGACTGTCCCTGAGAGAGCAGGTGGGACCAGAGAGTGCCTCCTGGGCCAGGAAGATGGAACACACGGGAAGAGAAGAGTGTGGACACCGGGTCCAGCCCACTCCGACCTCCCTTCCATCTTAGGCATGGTTCCTGCGCCTTCCAGGGGTCCTGCCTTGGTCACCTCGGCCACGTCTCACCCTTCAGCCTGAAATACTCACTTCCCTCCTCTCAACCCACCTGTAGAGGCCTCACAGCCTGCATCCCACAGATGCTAAACCACCGGGGAGATGTGAAGTATTTATAGCTAATGGCCTTGGTTTAGGAGTTGCATTCTCCAGTATTCACTTTTTTTTTTTTTCTTTTAAGGGAGGACGGCGTAATACAAAGGGCAGGCAGGGAGCCTACAGTTACTCTATTCACACAAGCTGTACCTCATTAAAAAATAAAGCACTGCCATCCTAACTGTCTGCGACATGGCCCATTTCTTGTCCTTACAGCTTCAGTTACTACCTCTTTGTTGCGTAGCCCCTTTGAAGATGAACACAAGCCAGGAAAATGAAAAGAGCCGAGACTAGAGGAAATGGTGGAAAGGGGACAGCCAGACAGATGCTCTCTGCCTGCTCCCTTGGCACCACACAGGCCCATGACAGCCCGATCCTGTCACCAGCCTCCAGAAAGACTGGGTCCGCAGTCTGTGCTGCATCCCTGTCCACGCCATCCCTCTCCTTAGGGCTCAGCGTTTTAAGGGGTGGGTAAGGACGATACCCTAAAGGCCGGAGGAGCTGACAGAGGTCTCTTGGGCTCCCTCACCTTGCACATGCTCCAGGTGCAAGAAGATGGAGTCCTCACTCACGAAGTACCGCAGCAGCTTTGTCATGTAGGGAACCCCGTGCGGGATGACAGTCAGCCGCTCCCGGCTCGCTACGTGGCACCTGGGCAGACTCTGGGAGGGAGCAGCCAGGCAGATCAGCTGTGACAGGCCACAGGCTGCTGCTCCTAGGGGGACATCCTAGCCCTGGCTCCAGGTGCACCCGGAGAAGAGGCGGGAGGCACTGTGAGACACAGCCACTCCCACCAATCCTGGCCTGGCCCTGACCCTCATTTCCCCCGTGGGAGCCAGGTCCTCCACCCTTCCAGTCAGGTAGGTGTGTGTGTGTGTGTGTATCTGTCCTGCTCAGAGTCAGAACAAGCAGCTGTGGCATCTGGAGGCCACGTGCATTCCAGATGCACGTTCTGGGGAAGAGGTTCCCTTGAGAAAGTCCCAAGGGGAATGAATACAGCATGGCAGGGGCTGGGTGGCACCTGCCTTCACCACGAACGTCCCTCCAGTTGCTGGATCCTGGACCAGCTGCACCTGTCAAAGTAAGTCCAGAAGGCAAGCGTCAAGGCACATGCTAGTTTCCTGGCTCCTCTACTAGGCTGGGTCACTCCTGGGCTAGGGCAGAGGATAGCCCTGCCCCCCAGCCAACATCCACCCTATTCTGCTCACTTCCCCTGCTCCACCTGCAGGTCTTAGCCCTGTGCCACTTCCCCCAGTGGTGCTTGTGTGCTGGCTACTCCAGAAGGATCACTTGAGCCTAAGAGTTCAAGGCTAGCCCAGGCAACATAGCAAGAACTTGTCTCAATCAATCATTCATTCCTCTCTGCAGGGACTCTTCATGGAGCAGCCAACTGTCTTCTCATGCTGGTTTCGGTTACAGCCACCGCTTGCTTGCTAGGCTGGGTTTGGGGTTGACTTATCTGGGAAGGCAGGGCTGGGCCCAGCTGTAGGAGGTCGTAAGGGAGGCACACAGGTGTGTCTGGGCAGAAGGCAGAAGGTTCAGCCCAGATGCAGGGCATGTGAAAGACAGCATCCTGATGTTTTCTGGGACTACCGGGCTGCAGGCCTGTCTTGCCCTGCCCTGGTGGGGAGTGGGAGTCAGGCCCTGAGGCCAGGCCACTGGACAGTAGTGAAGACTGCAGTCTAGGGTTGGAGGGCACTGGGTTTCCAGCTTGGCTGAGTGAACTGATTTGCTCATTCACCAGACACGAGTTATGAATGCCCACCTTCCTTCTGTTACTGATTTGCTGAGGCACAGGTGGGCGAGCCCTGCATAAGCACAGAGGTGTGAGGATGGACGGCTTGCCAAGTCACCCTGCGAACCCTGCACTTCTTACCTGCAAAAAGGGCCATAGCAGTTCCTCCTTCAGGGCCAAAGGGGAGGGGGACTGCCTAAAGCAAATAATTCAAATATAAACCCTCCTCATGCATAGCATATCTCCAGTATCATTGGAGAAGGAACCAACATTGTCTGTAAAGTGCTTACTCTGGGCCAAGCAATTTACATAGGTTATTTTATTCCCACAACCCTACTGGTGAGTTACTAGAGATCCATTGTATTGAAGAAGAAATTGAGGTTCTGAAGGGTGATGCTGCCTACTTTCGGTCCCACTGCTGAAAAGAGGGTAGCAAGGCTGGTCCCCAAGCCTAGCCCACTTCACTACAACTGGGGCACAACCAGGTGACCTTGGCAAGTGCCTTCCCTCGGAGCCTCAGTTTCCCTCTCAGTAAAAGGAAAGCAGTGACAGACCACATGAGCACCTGGCCCTTCTGGCTCCATGTTTCTTACAACCACCAGAGGTCTCCCCTCCATAGGCCAGGGATGAGCCCAGCCCGGCCTTGGCTCCTTGACCACACTTGTGCAATGTTTGAAGAGGAAAGGCAGAACATGGTAGGGTCATTTCAGAGAACAGTTTCCCACAAATCCTAACACCCCGGATAATTCCCCACTATCTCTTGCCAAATGGGATTCCCCACTACCTTGTTCTGAGCAAAACTCTGATTTACACTTCAAAAACCAGGAGTGGAAGCCAGAAATACTTGACCCCTACATCAAAAGACTTGTGTTTTAAAAATACCTTAAAACCTAATTAATCAACCTAGAAGGAATTAGATCAAAACACTGACAGTGACTGTCTTGGAGTCAGGAAGGGTGGTGAGTTTTGTTTTGTTTTGTTTTGTTTTGAGTTTCCCACTCCCTCTCTTCATTATGTCTCAAAAGAGCCACAGAGGGGCATTTTCCTATTAATGCAACTAAACAAAACAAACTTTTGCTTAATTGCCTGGAGGACCAAGCACGATCTAGTACTTGACCTCCGTGAACCTCAGCTTCATTGTCTGTAAGACAGTTACTACAATGTAGCACCACCCAACAGAACTTTCTGCTTCAGTAAAAAAGATGTATTGGTGCATTGTTCTTAGTCACAAGGCATGGCTTCTCAGCCTTTTGGCTAAGATCAAGTGTAACTCACATAACTATTGAGTCCCTGAAATGTGGCTAACGCAACTGAGACACAGAATTTTTTTCTGTTTGACACAGGGTCTCACTGGGTACACAGGACAACCTTCATCTCACAATGATTCTCTTGTCTCAGCTTCCTGAGTGCTGGGATTACAGGCGCGTGCCACCACATCCAGCTTCCATAGAATACTATGAATGCAAAGTCTTAAGTGATTAGTAACAACTGTATCTGACAGAACAGCATAAAGCTCTTATCCCCACAGTGGCTGTGAGAACTTAATGTTCCATAAGTGATAACAGCTGTTACAATTTGTTAGGCGAGCCTTATAATTTATACCTCCTTAAATTGTCCTCCCGCCCAAACAGGGTCTCGAAACGAAATTCAGGTTGGCCTTGAGCTTATTTTGTAGCCCAGACTCCAAGTGATCTTCTTGCTTCAGTCTCACGAGTGCTGGGATTACAGGTGTGCAACTCTATGCCCAGTGCTCACCCTTTTTTATTTTTTATTTTACCGGTACCAGGGATCAAACTCAGGACCGCGCGCTTGAAAGGCAGGCGCTTATGCCTATGCCGCTGAGCTAAATCCCCAGCCCCCAGCTCACCTTTTTTTTTTAAAAGGTGGCATTTTTCTTTCTTTTTTTAAAAGAAGCCCACTAAGTTGTTGAGACTCAGAGACATTTAAAATTTTGGTGAAACACAATAAAACCCTTTCTTTAAAGATGTCCAAATTGTCTAATCCCTAGGGGAAATTCTTATAGTGCAAACAAGTTCAAAAGCTTCAAACAGGCTCACAACCTGAAAGGCCCTGAGGGCAGGACAAGGTGGGTGGGCGGAGCCAGGAAGAGACCAGTAAGAAAGGGAGGCTGTGTCCCCTCTGAAACAGGCAGCCCCTCCTCAAACCCCTGCTGTGACATGGGAATGCAAACCCTGCATTTCCAAATCTGATTTTGCAAAAAAAGAAAAAAAAAAAAAAGCCAAAAATCTGGACTTTTATGTAAAATTTGCACATTTTAAAATGTTGGTACCAATTAAAACCAAAAAAGCACCCCTGTGTTTGAGCCAAAAAATGAAAATAAGAAATGACTTGGATGACTTTTCTTCCTCTTGTCCAAATCAGAGCCTGGCTCCTGGAAAAGGGTCAGCAAAAATGGAGTGACATCTTTCAGGCCCCTGGGCTCCCCAAGGATACACTTCTGGGTATCTGGTCTGCAGCTTCCTGCTCCGTGCTGCCCCTGTCCCTGGGAGAATCTCTTCAGACCCTGGAGACTTAGCATCCAGGCCAGCCAAGCTCAACAGCTGGATAACAGACTGTCCTGAGCAAATCGTGTTCTCCTTCCTGGGCCTACGGGAAGCCACTGGCCAGCACTGGGCCGCAGCCTCTATCTGTCTGTCTCGGGTAGATATAGAGTAGAGCCAGTGGGTTGGGTGTAGTGCTACATATCTATAATACTAGCACTCTGGGGAGCTGAGGCAGGATCACAAGTGCCAGCCTAGTCTGGGCAACTCAGTGAGACCCTGTCTCAAATAAATTTTATAAATAAAAAGGGCTGGGGATGTAGGTCAGTGCGCAGGCACTGGATTCAATACCCCATACTAGGAAAACAAAAAAAGAGAACAGAACAAGCTCAGTGGCCCTAGCTCACTTCCTAATTTGGGGAAAAATGCTGTTTCTAGCTTGGGCATGACACAGGAAAAGGAAACAGGATCTTGGAAGGGAGCTGAGATCCACATGAGCATGGAGAGAGGGGAAAGAAGAAAAAGGGACAACTTAAAGACGGACTTTTTAAGTATGGCCTTCACTGGCGCTTTCCCTCTATCTGCACAAGCCTCTGAGTACTGGGTGTTTCAAATGTGTGGTGCATGTGTGTCCTGGGATTAAACAAATCTGGGGAATTCTGCACTACAGACCTCCCTCACTGTGATTCCCAGTGTATATTTGGATCCAAAAAGCTCTGAGAACTTCTATAATTAAAAAAATTAAAAATAACGTAATTTTAACTTGTTTGTTAAACTTATTCAGTGTGGAAGCCCCTTCTAACACCAGTGCTCAGGGGTCTCACTTAGGGAATGCTGTCTGTCCCCTCCCTAGCCTGTCCATGGGAGCGGCCGTGGCCACACTGCAGCAGATGGGAGCTGGCTGGCCTTCCCGACAGCCTGGGGCCTGTTCCAGGGGCCTGTGAGAAGCAGCCAGAGCTCAGCCTGGGACACGAACCTGCACTTCCCCACTCACTGAGCCGTCGAACATGCAGTCAATGTCTTAGCCTGAGCCAGGCCTTTCCCCAAAATTATTTCACTATTTCTTTTCATTAGGAAGAAAAGTTCTGCCCCACTTTAGAGGAAACCAAAACTCACAGCAGTGGGGGGGCGTGCCCAAGGCCACACTGTGCACTGCCCTTTGAGTACGCACCCCACTCTTTTTTTTTGCACCCCACTCTTTTGCACAGGGGATACACATTGGTCTCCTTTTCTCTATGGAGTCCCACACCCACCAAAGCTATCTGACAGGTGTTTTATTAGATTCCTGTGTTGAACCTTAGAGACTGTGACTCCACAAGTCTGGGGTGGGGTCCAGTCATCTGCGTTTCAGGGAAGCTTTCCAGGGGATGGTAACAAATGTCTAGTTTGGAGAATTACTTCAGGGACTGCCCAAGGAGCCCTCAGTTGCAGGCAGATGAAAATCCAACACGGTGTCATTTCTCATTTGACCCGTTTATCCCTCTGATCCCCTGCTTTAGTAATGAGCGCTCCCCAGGAAGGACTAGGATATCATACATCTTCCTGTCTGCCCTGAATTAAGGGAAAGAGATGAGATGGGTCAGGATGAGTGTGAGGTGCCAGAGAAGAAACAGCAGAGTTGCCACAGCCCTGGATGAGACAGGCCAGGAAGAGGTCAGGCTGGCTGCCCTGGATCAGTGTGGGCTCCCACCAGCCAAAGCCAACTCCTTGCCTTGGCCTCATTTCTGAGGACAAGCCTGCCTGGATGCCCACTGCTCTTCTGGCAACCCAAAGCCCCTTCCCATAGCACCACAAGGCAGCTGAGGGTGAGGGGGGCTTGGGCCTGAGGCTGCTTGTGGCCCTGTCTCCTTCCTCTAGAGGACAGGTTTCTAGAGATGGGCACATTTCTGCCACAGGGAGTCCTTGGCTGTGCGTGGTGGGAAGAAACTCTGGGCTGCAGCCCTGGGGCACATACTGAGTGCAGGGCGGGGGCCTGTGGGCAAGTGGGAGTGGGCAGGGCAGCAGGAGCTGGCAGGGTGCCCCGGGCACAGCTTCTCCCGTGGTTTCTTTGGGTTTTCTGTGTCTGAGTGGAGGATGGGGAGGGGAGCTGTCTGTCTCTTCTCATTCTCCACGTTTGGCTCTTCAGAACCTGACTGAGGCATGCTGGGGTGGGGTGAGGAGAGGTGGCTGCTCTCCTCTCTGATTGGTCCGCCGCCCCCTGAAGGACTGCAGATGGCTGCTCCAGTCCCCTTTCCATCACACCATGTCCTCCCACCACGCTGGCCTGCATGCACTCACCTTGTCGATGACCCCAACCACGCGGCAGCCCCTCAGCTGCTCCAGGGCAGAGCTCAGTGTGCGGATGGGTCGGAGCCGCAGGCTGCTGAACCCCTGCAGAGGTGGGAGACAAGGCCACAGGCAGCCTCAGGCCCAAGCCCCCCTCATCCTTGGCTGCCTTGGGGGGCTGTGGGCAGAGGCTCTGGGCTGCCTGGAGAGCAAGAGGGGTCCAGGCAGTCCTCACTTCAGGCATGAGGCCAGAGTGAGGAGTTGGCTTTTGCTGATGGGAGCCTATACTGGTCCAGGGCAGCCCCCACCTACACTGGTCTTCGCTCAGCCCCCACCCAGTCCCCCAAGGCCCAGGATGTTGGACTTCAGAAGCCCCCTCTCAGAGGCCCCAGCCACAGCGGGCAGAATGTTCCTAGGGTAAGGGATGGGAAATGTGGGCTCAGGGAACATGCCTGGGACACCAAGCCACTTGCTTTGGAGAAAGGCAGCCTAAGAGATACTGCAAGCTCAGGGCATGCGTAGGGTATGTGTGCAAACCTGCACCTGCTAGAAGTGCGTGTGCGCTGTGATCTCTGCCCCCTGCCCACTGGGTTAGGAAAAGCCATCTGCAGAGGGTCCTGGGCACACATGTATGCACCCATTCACGAGCACACATGTGCTCTAAATGCAAAGCCAGCCCATTTACAACAGGAGCAGAATCAGAAGCTTTCAATGAGTGTGAGTGCATAATGCGGGAAGCCGTGTTGGGGTGTGTGTGGGGCGATGACTCTTGAGGCAGAAATGGGGGTGACTCAGTGAGGGGTCAGAGTTAATGAAATGTGAGGGCCTAGAAGAGAGGGCCCCAAAGAGGATAGCCGACTTAGCCGTCCACTAGGTAGCCGTTAACCACCCCACAAGGTAAGGAGGGGGCCCTCTCTCCACAGCCCTCTCCGCCTCAGGCCTTTTGCTGGGAGGGCGCTCTCACCGTGTCAGGGCTGCACCCGCTACCCAGCCTCCGCTGCAGGTGGCAGTTGAAGATCTCCTCAGCCCGCCGCAGGTACTTGGTAATTTTCAGCTTTACTGCCTCTCGCCGCTCCTTGTTGGGGTCAACTGTGGGGGATGAAGGTCAGGGACACCCAGCCTGGCCCACCCTGGCCTTGGCCAAGGGCTGAGATGCCAGCTCCCATCACCTGCCTCTGCTCTCCACAGCAGATGGCTCTGTTTCTAAGGCTGCTTCTGCAGATTCTGTTCCCAATCCCTGGCAGGGAAGGAGGAAGATGGCAAGAGGCTGGGAACCATGGTCACCCCTCAGCTAACTGCACTTTATAGTTGGTACCCATCACTTGCTGAATGCCCTCTCACCCTGGTGTTTTGTCTAGGGGTAGACAGCTCGTCATGAATGTCACGCCATTGGGAAGGGGCAGGGCAGGGATTTCCATGCCCACTTTTGTTATTTTTTTTAGAAGGGAAGATGCAGACTTCTAGAGAGCACTGGCTCCTAGATGCCATGCCAAAAAAGGCCAGGGTGGAGACCATTTCAGAAGGCAAAGGGACCCACTGCACAGGCCCAGACTTGGAGGCCCTTCTGCAGGTATAGGAGGGATAAGTCAGGCCGCCTCCTACCCGCAGCCCAGCCACAAAGCCCTCAGGGGTCTCAAAGTGGCCTTGGCACCAGCCTCTCCCCCAGCAAGGCAATGCCCCACTCTGCCAGAACAGGCTTCACTTCTTCCTGCAGGGCCGGGCAGACTGCCCTTCTCTCAGCTGGGCCTCTGCTGGACAATCCTTCCTCTGTTCTGTAGCACACATGTTCATTTTCACTTCCAGAAAATGTCCCATGATGGCCTAGCCTGGCCTCAGTTTCCCTCTCCCCTTCCTTCACTTTTTCCTCACTGCTCTTCCTACTTAATGAGTTGGTCATTATCAACTCATCAGTCACCCACCTAACCCCGAAATCCCAGCTTCCAGGGGACAGCAGCCCAGCCCATGTCCTTGGACAGTCAAATATAGTAGACACCAGAAGTCAAAGTTGCCAAAGCTAATCCAACCCCTGCCATATACCTGCTAGCTGTGGAGTGTTGAACAGCTATTTAACTGCCCCTTGCCTCTTTTTTTTTTTTTAAATCTGGAAAATGAGTATCAAAAAATGGTTCCTAATAGGCACAGTGGTGCATATCTGTATTCCCAGCACTCAAGAGGCTGAGGCAGGAGGATCATTTGAACCTAGGAGTTCTAGACCAACTTGGGCAACAAAGACCCAGGCTCAACAATAAACAAACAAACAAGAAAAAACAAACAAGTTCCTATATCTTTGTAACTACATGTATCAATAATAGTTTCCGGTTTTGTGAGGACCGATGCCTGGCATAAAGGAGCTAGTAGTAAGTGTTAGTTACCGTTGTTTTTCACGGAGGCCCTGCAGCTAGCATAGTGGCTCCCACCAAAATGGACCACTGGCAAATGACAAAGCAAGCCCTGCACCGCCCTTTCCCACCTGTCCCCAGCCCTGGTTCTCACCATGCACACCACGGAGCAGCACATCCACGCCATTCTGGTAATGGTTAAAGGCTGCCTCGTAGTCCTCGCTAACATCACGCTCCAGGGCCAGCCGGATCTGTGTGGCGGCATCCACCAGGTAGTCACACTTGGTCATGTCCACTGCCCCTGCAGCCACGCGGCTTCGAATCTGCTCCAGGTAAGTACAGGCCTGAGACCGTGGTCGTGAGCAGAGCTCAGGCTCCAGGCCTGAGTTAGGCAGGCATTCGCAGGCCACCAGGCTCATGGCTGTCCTGTGACTGGCTGGGATCTGGAACAAGCAAATGCATCAGAGAGGCCCCAGCTGGGACCCCCACCTCTGCCTGCAGTCTGGTTTCCTCCACAGAAAATTGGGAGATTATGGTTCTCCTCCAAAGACTGAAGGATTCAGAGATCATGTGGGGTAGGTCCATTCAGTGGGTCCGATCCTTCCTAAGGCAGATGACTAAAGAGCACAGGGTAAGGCTCTGTTTTCCTTTCCTTTTAAATTTAATTCAACAAGGATTTCCTGAGTACATGCTGCAGGCTTAGCACTGAAGAGCTCGAGGGAGATATGTGATCCAGAGCAAAACCTGGGTCTAGTACCCAGTGAGGGAATGGAGGCCACACTCTAGGATCAAAGGCCATTCCTCACATCACCCCCTTTCCGGTTCCCTCTCAGTTCCTCCGGTGGGAAACTGATTTAATCTTTTGGGTTCAGCCCAGTGGCACCTCTCCCAGCTTTGATTCGTTTCCCTTGGTCCTGAGGTCTGCAGCGATCTGTGATTGAGGACCCCCAACCCCCAACCCTGGAGCTGCCACATTGCTGGGCCTTCGAGAAGAGGGGGTGACTGGCAGATTCAGCGCCACCTTCGGTGGCGTTAGATACAGGAGTGCAGAGTGACCCAGCCCTTTGGGAGGGGCGGCTCTGTCCTCCAGGCCCAGTATCTGAGAGGCTCCTCCCTCAGCAATGTGTACCACAGATGGCCAAAAGGATTAGAGCAGTGGCTGTAAAGAGCAAGGGGCTCGCACCTCGTTGCTGCTTCACAGTCAGCTACTGGGGAGGCGCCAGCCAGGGCCTCCCAAGCCCAGGGCTCTGTGGTCGAGGCACGAACTGATGAAAGGAAGGTGTGGAGGAAACCTCATCCCAAGACAGCGCAGAGCTGAGCACCGGCTAGGATGCAGCCATCAGGTGGAGGGAGACCGGCCCTCCACGATCGGCCCACCCCGGGAGGATACGGAGCCCCAAGGCCTGTGCTCAGGGGACCCAGGCATGAGTCAGGCCCACTTCCTGCAGTCAGAGGCCTCGGTCACGCCTCGGGCTCCGAAAGTGGCTCTTGTAGCCTGCAGTGCCCGGCCCGCAAGGTGCACCATCTGGTGGGAACGGCCGAAGCAAACCGAGATGGGCCCGTGAGAAAGAGGGCTCCTCACCTGGAAAGATGGAGGAGGAACTGAGCAAATAGCGTCCCCCGTCAGAGCCTGGCGCTCCGGGCATCGGCCAGACCTCGCCGGCCGCCAGCGGCCGGCGGGCGAGAGTGCTCCGCAGACCGCCGCCTTGGCCCTCTGGAAGGGGCGGGACCCGGCGCTGCGGAGCTCTGCCATTGGTTGAAGATGAGGTCATCCTACCCGGTTAGAATAAACCACCAATCACCGCCCGCTTCGGCTTCTACCCAACCCTTAAAGCCGCAGAATCTGCGCCCCGGGATGCTGGGGGCAGGGGTGTGGGAGTGGGGGGTGGGAAGCTGGAGGTGGGTGGTGGGTGGTGGGTGGAGGTGGGTGGGGATGGACGGGGATGGACAGGGATGGACGGGATGGGCTGGGGAAAAGGGTAGGTGATGTGAGGGTGTCGCCGATGGGGTAGGGGTAAGCACCTTATTAGGATCCAGGGATGAGGGAGGGGCCTACTTCAGAAATCGGAGCTAACAATCGCCTGGGGCACTTCTAAGACTTTTCTCAACTCTGTAATGGTTACAGATTACAGACACAATGATGCCATGGACAGCTCTGCGCACCGCGTAGGGTTTACCGTCTTAATGAGGGACACTCTGATTAAAGAACTAAATTGGTAAAGTTGACGTTTGGTCATGTTGTAAGGGAGAAGTGTGACCTAGATTGGGTCAGGAGACTTTCTGGAAGAAGCAGTGTCTGAACTGAGCTTAGATTTCAAAAGCACAGACCTCGTGTGTGAGCCAGACACCGCCAGACTGACCCTAGCTGTCCCGCCCTACTGTGCTTGCGCACCTCTTGACCCCTTCCACTTGATCTCCAGGTCTCCCTGCTCCATCCTCACTGTCAATTCGGAGGTGTCGATTTCTCCTCCCCACGGAGATGAAACCCAGACGCTAGAACTCACCAGCCGTGCTGCCTCTCCCGTCTTTCCACAGATGACCTCGTGTGCCCAACTTTCCACTTGGACCTCAGTCCCATCCCTGGATCTACACAAGGACCCCACTCTACTAATTACTTCGTTTCCTACGTTATTAATTTTTGATTCTCACTGGATCAGTCCTATCAGACATAAACAATGTTTCTCCTTTCTTAAAGGCAATGAAAATGTCAGGCGATGAAGCACACATATGCAGCTGCATCTGCTCCAGAGACTGAGGCAAGAAAATTGATTGAGCCCAGGAATTCAGGGCCTGGGCCCCTAAAAAATAAAATAAAAAAGCAAACAACAGGATATTTCTTCTCCTTTTATTATCACTCCAGGTTGCCAACAAAACCCATTTAAACAGATGTGAGCCAGGCGTGGTGGCACAAACCTGTGATCCTAGCTGATCAGTGGCTGAGGCAGGAGGATTTCAGCGGGTTCTAGGTCAGCCTCGGCTGCACAGCAAGACCTCATCTCAAAACAAGACGAAGAAAAGCAACAATCTACAGGATACTAGAACATATTTGGTATTATATATCTGAAAAGGACTAGTAACTAGAATATACAAAGAGCTCTTACTGCTTAACAGTTCAAACACTGATGACCCAAATTAAAACTGGATAAAGAATTTTTCTGACATTTCTCCAAAGAAAATATGCAGATAAACTACTAAACACAAGAGGAGATTTAACATCATAGGAGGAACACAGATTAAAACTACAGTGCAATACCACATCACACCAACCAGGGGTGGCCATAATAAAAAGATAATAATAGTAGCAGAGCTCACATTAGCTGGAAAAGTTGGTAACTTCATATATTGCTGAGGAGGGTGCAAAATGGTACTGCTACCTTGGAAAGCAATTTGATAGTTCCTGAAAACTTAAACAGAGGCAGAGGACATAGCTAGTGGCATACAGCCTGCCTGGCAGGCGTGAGGTCCTGTGTTCAATTCCCAGGACCAAATAACCAAAAATAACAAAGAAAAAAAAAAAAAAACTTAAACACAGAATTACCTTAAGACTCACAGTTTAGCTCTGCAGCACAAGTGCCTGCTTGGTAAGTGTAAGGTCCTGACTTAGATCCCCAGTACCAAAACAAAACAAAACAAAAACCCCAGAATTACCATAATATCCAGCAATCCACTTCAAAGTATATCCTCAAGAGAAATGAACACATGTAGACATGAGAATTTGTACATAGGGGCTGGGGATTTAGCTCAGCGGCATAAGTGCCTGCCTTGCAAGCAGGTAGTCGTGAGTTCGATCCCCGGTACCAATAAAAAAAAGGAAAAAGACAAAAAAAAAAAAAGAAAAAGAAAAAGAAAATTTGTACATAAATGTTTATAACATTATTCACAATAGTCAAAAAGTGGAAACAACTCATAGGTGGCAGTGCACACCTGTAGTCTCAGCACATGGGAGGCTGAGGCAGGAAGATCACCATGAGTTTACAGCCAGCCTGAACTACCCAAGACCTTGTCTCAAAACAAAAAAAAGGAAGAAAGAAAGAAAAATGGAAATAGCCCAAATGTCTATCAAATGTTACACATACATGAATGGAATATTTTTCAGTTATAAAACACTTGAAATGCTGATACAGCTACAACATGGGCTAAACCTAAAGACAGAATTTTTTCACTTAGTACACTAAGTGAAAGAAGCCAGACACAAAAGAACACACCATGATTTCATATATATGCTACTTCCATAATAGTCAAGTCTATGGAGACAAAGGGTAGATGTCAGGGACAGAGAGTAAGTACGGGGATTCATCAACTGTTCTAAATTTGATGGTTATTATGGTTGCACATTTTATGAATATACTAAGAGCTGGGGAACTGGATGTTTTAAAAAGGTGGATTACATCTCAAGAAAAAAATTATCAATGCCAGATGTGGTGGCACACACTTGTAATCCCAGCATTTGGGAGGCCGAGGCAGGAGGATCGTTGTGAGTTTGAACCCAGCCTGGGCTACAAAGTGAGCTCAAGGCCAGCTTGAACGCATAATCTCAAAAAGCCAAAAAAGAAAATTATCGTAATGAAAAAGAATCAACAACAACGAATTTGAACTCTTGATCCTCTCCTGAAACTTTTTCTGTGTGGAGCCTCTCCAACTCCATCCTGATGCTCCATCCAAGGAGACCATCTGTCTTTTTGTCTTTCAGGCCACAAAGTTTGGAACCATTCACATCCCACATTGAATCTATTAGAACATCACCATGGTTTTCCCCTTGCAATTTACCCAGGATCCAGATGCTTCTCAGCCATCTCTATGACCTCTCTTTATCTCGTGCCTCGCTTCCTTAACTATAGGAGGCTCCAGCTGCCTTCCTCGGTCCACATTTGCCCTCCTGAAGTCAGTTATCAACACCGGGTCAGGGGCTCCTCTCAAAACTTAAGTCACATTCTGTCCCCCATTTGCTCAAAACCCTGTAGAGGTCCCACCATATTGCAAGAAGAACTCAAAGCTCCTTCCATGCCCCCCAAGGCTCTTGGCCACTCTCCTTTCCCCAAACCCTTTTCATCATCTACCATCCTCTCTCACTGTCCCAGGGTACCAGGCGGCAGCTGTCCCTCGGGGCCATTGCCCCAGTCTGGGATGAGCTATCTCCTGAAATCTACCTGCTTAGCCCAGCCTTGTTTTGAGCCATGGCTCTGACGTGATTTCCCTTGAGTCTTACCCGGACTGACTTCACCTCCATCCCCTTCCCACTCCAGCCCGCCTCACCCTACCCTGCATCTTTGCCCTTGGATTCAGTGCCGTGTCATGCTCCAGAAGTTACTTGTTTTGCTGTATTTTCTTTCTCATCCCCAGAGGAAGAGCAACAGATGCAAAGCCTTTTATATGCTTTGATCACTGCTTTATCCCAATGCCAAAAGCAGCATATGACCCATAGTGTTGCTCAAGATATGTTTGCTAAACAGATGAGTGAGCTGTGAAGAGTAAGACAGAATTAATCAGGAAAAGCGATTGGAGAAGACGGTGCAGGAGAGTGTTCTGGACAGAGACACAATCTGCATAAATGCTTTGACAAATTAGGGGAGAAGATAGCATTCGCTGATCAAGCATATGGCATAGAATTATTTGACAAAAATTAACACTCATTCATAATAAAGACAAACTCTTGCTTAACAAACCCTAAACAAGTTTACCTCGTAACTTGATGACATATTATCTGCCAGAAGTTTAGGACAAACATCCTATGTGATGGAAGAGCTTTAGAATCGTTCCCATCCATGAACTGCGGCCCAGCCATGCTCGCCTGCCTTGGAGCCAACTGAGTGTGGACTGAAACCTCCAAAAACTGTAAGAAATAAACCTTTCCTTTCCCAACTTGGACTTCAGTTATTTTGTCTCAGCAATGAGTAAAAAGTAACTAAGATGGCCTGGATGGCTGGGATACAACAAAAAGGGACCCTTTAACTCTTGTGCTGAACATTACATGTGGGAGAGAACTAGCTTTTTACCTTTTGTCTTTTCTTCCAAAGAGGATTAAACCTAGGGCCTTATGCTAAGCTACAAGCCCATTCCTTTTTATTTTCATTTTTGAGATAGGGTCTTGCTAAGCTGCCCAATCTAGCTTCAAACTTGTGGTCCATCTGTATCAGCTTTAAGAGTGGGTGGAATAAGGGGCTGGGGATTTAGCTCAGTGGCATAAGCTGCCTTGCAAGCAGGCAGTCGTGAGTTCGATCCCCAGTACCGATAAAAAGGAAAAAGACAAAAAAAAAAAAAAAAAAAAAGAGTGGGTGGAATTACAGATGTGCTCTGCTATGCTCTTCCTCCTTGACAACTAATTTTTATTGTTAAGTCACATGTGTTTGTTTGTTTGAGTCATGTTTGTTTGTTTGAGACAGGGTCTCCCTATGCAGTTCAGGCTGTCCTTGAGCTCACTTTGTAGCCCAAAGATTGAACTTGCAGCAATCTTCCTGCCTCAGTCTCCCAAGACCTGGGATTATAGGTGTGCACCACATGCCTGGCTATGAAATAATTCTTAAAACTGCCATCAATTTTAATAGTCTGCTGTGAAATGTATAGATATGTGTATAGTTTTTATTGTGGCCTTATCATGAAATATAAAATTGGAAATTAATGTTTGTTAGTTTGTTTTGGTATTGGATAACAAACTCACAACCTCATGCTTGCCAAGCAGGCACCTGTGCTGCTGAGCAAAATTCCTGGCCCTTAAAATTGGATATATAATGTTTTTTTTTGGTTTTTTTTTT